AGAATTCATGAGCCATTGAATCGGGTCCCAGTGGCTAAATGGTATACGAGCTTGCCTTGTAACCGGAAGGTCCTGGGTTCAAATCCCAGTGGGTGCGTACTGCCGATGATTCCCAAACTAGGATGAAACAGCAGCTGTCCAGTACTCCCTGGTTTTCAATGGTTCTCTAACTGATATCAGTCCGTGATCAACTCGTAAAACATAAAATGTTTACCTTGGTCTAGAATAAGACCAACAAATCGTCCATGAACATTAGCACTTTAAATTCCTGCCGCAATTTTCTTTTCCTTTCTTCTTCTATTCCTTTGTTTCATTGACAAACGTTCATTTGCGACTTTTTATGATTTTACTACCTTAGGTTTAAGTAGTGGTTTTCTAACTTGTTATCATATTTACAAAACCCTGTTCATTTCACTTCACTAAGTCCCTTATTATTATTATTATTATTAATTTGAGTGTCATTCGCCAATAGTACTTTTAAGTTTACGCCACATCATCATTGTTATTATTTTACAATCACCATTATTATCGTTGTTATTTTCAACCTTGAACTTGTGTCTAGTCCACCTCATTAGTTGGTTTATTTTCTGTAGTATTCACATTGTCTCACATTCCACTGATTGCACTCATTCTCGAAACTGGTATTTTTGTTGAACGTGTTTATGTTTACACACACACATTAAATTAAACTATTTCATCTCATTTTATCTCACTGACCATGCATTTTCTACATCTAACTGACTATTGTTCTACAATTCACATTCTGATATGATTGTAATTTGCCTTTACTGGCTATTGTTTGCTTAAATTAATTAAAAGATTTATAATTGTAGAGTACTGTCCGACTACGCAGGTGGTCTGGGGTTCAATCCCCGGTCGACGCACTCCTCCTTTACCTCGGGAAGGCAGGATGATGTTACAGGATTGGACTACACCGACTCCTAGATTAGAAATAAGAAGTGAAGTGGTAGAGTACGTTAACCACTTCACTTACTTGATAAGTACCATCAGCCAACGCCAACGGGTTGATATCTGACGAAATCTCAGCACGAATAGAGAAGGCTAGTTTCGCATATGCCAGTTTACGCTGTCCCTGGCGTAGACGTGATATCCGGTTGGCTGTCGACCAAAGGGCGTGTGCACTGCTCATCAGTCCGCTCCGTCCTCCTTTATGGCTGTGAGACCTGGCCATTGAGAGTGGAAGACATGAAAAGATTAGCTGTCTTTGATCATAGGTGTCTGCGTTCTATCTCCCATGTGAAGTGGTATAATAAGGTGAGCTATATTGAGGTAAGACGTCGAGTGCTACGTAGGTAGGGGAAATCAATTGACGAGGCTGTGAAATTACATCGACTGAGATGGTTAGGACATGTGTTACGTATGCCTAGTCATCGCCTTCCTCGACAATGGGCAATGTTAGCTGATATAGGGTCAGGCTGGAAAAGAGCTAGCGGCGGTCAAACGAAAACATGCACCATTCAATGAAATGTACAACAGTTAGTCTAAGCTACGTAGGAAGATGTAGACTTCCTGACTGGTTGGGGTCCTCGGTACGGTAAAAACCAATGGTTGGAAACAATTGGTGACATGGCTCAAAATCGTTCCCAATGGCTAGCGCAGATGCATCCACTCCTTGTGACTTATCATATCCAATGAAACTATATTGTTCTTCGTTATTACAATTCCTTTATCTCACACCTCTGTTTACTGTCTCTAATACGCATTTCTCCTACTTTCTTCTCTTGCTTTGTGTGCTACATGGAGGGAGTGTGGCGACTTGAACTGCCGCACATATGTGCAAAGTTCTATGTCGAAAACAGACAGACAGACTGGAAGGCAGTAATAAGACTGGTAAAGAGGGAAGGTTAAGCATGAGGCTAGCAACCCTATCCTGTGAAAGTAATCACCACTGCTACAGAAACTTCAAGCCTCTAGGTTGAATCCCTGTTCCACTGAAAGCGTGAAGGCTAGAGGCTTGAAGTTTCTGTAGCATTGGTGATTATTTTCACAGGATAGGGTTGTTGCTGGCCTCATGCTTAACCTTCCCTCTTTACCAGTCTTATTACTGCCTTCCCGAGGTAAAGGAGGAGTGCGTCGACCGGGGATTGAACCTCGGACCACCTGTGTGGTCGGCGAGCATTCTACCGCTGTGGCACCGACGCACTCAACAATTATAAATCCTTTAATTAATTTAAGCATAGAAAAGCCACCCTATATTCCACTGGGAGCGTAAAGGAATAAAAAAGATAATTGTACAGCCTGAAAAAGAGTAACTTTATTGAAACCACAATTATTGCCTCTAACTATTTTGTTCTGAATAAATTATGGGAATATTCAAGTTACAATTATATTTCTAAATTCTCAGCGAAATTGAAATGATTAATTCCAATGTTTCGTTCGGCAAACTGGTCTGAACTTCTTCAGAGAAATTAATCGAAGTTAACATAACAGAGGTTTGTATATAAAAAGGACATCTCTTGTTTAAAAAAAGTTTGTCTAAGCATATGAGTCATGAAACAGGTATCAACATGTATACTGAACAAAATTGTATGAGCTGTGATCAAAATCTGACCTCAGACTTTCAAATATGAGTCTACTTTTGTTACACACTTTAAACAGAGTGTACTTTTCATCAGATTACGTTCGACTAAAAGTTCATGGTCGTAGATAACTGAATATGAAAATATATGTGTGTATATGCAGTATACATTGGTGTGTGTGTGTGTGAATGGGTAAACAGTTGTAAAACATAATAGTTCTAGTGGGAAGCCGTGACCAGTAGGGCACAGCAAGTTGAAGGTGAGGCAGTTACTCATCGAAGAAGAAATTGCGAAGTAGTCGCGCTATGTCATGAATTGGCAGAAGTTAGAATTCCTGGGCCTGGCTTAATGGTCTACTAGCTCGCCTTGTAACCAGAAGGTCGTGGGTTCGGACCGTGGCGATGGGTGCGTACTTCTGAAGAGTCCCAAACTAGGCTGATGAAACAGCTGTCCAGTACTCCCAGGTGGTTTTCCAATGGTCCTCTAGCTGATATCAGCTCATCATGAAATCCTCCAACCAATGAAACTAAATCCCTACAAAAACCCCATACTTGTAAAACATTTGTTAGCCACTCCATAAGAAGATATAGACAGTCGGGAATTTAGACCAAGTATGATTAATTGGTGATACGTATCCATTTTTTATTTATTAATCAGGATTTGCCATACATCAACTAACATCACACCTTCACTTTTGTTCAAACTGTTAGTATCTAGAATTTTATGATTAGACGCACATTTTTAAAATGATGGTGTTTAGGGTTATAGTTTAGTTGAAACACCCTGTCCAACTTATTGATTTGTCTTCTTTTTGAAGATTAAGCTGCTTTATTCGACCTACTGAAGTTGTCAGGTGACTCGACAGCTACGGATTTAGGATAAAAACACTTGCAAAATTATACAAATATAACTTTTACAAATGTCTTCCTCTCACTTTCCGCCCAATTATTTTAGAACTATTTTGTCAAATCTTGATCATAGTTCATATGAATATGTAAATAGAGTTAATGACTGACTGACTGGACTGGTTTCAACATAGGACTTTTTGCACCGACGTGCAGCAGTGGTGGCACAGTGGTTAGGACTCTCGCCGACCATGCACATGGTCCGGCGTTCGATCCCCTGCCGACGCACACCTGATATCTATGGTCGGCCTGCAAAATTTGGGCTACCGATATCACATGCTGAAAATTCCATACTTGTACACAAAATACGGTGTGGAATCAAGCTATCATAAAAAAGTCTCCACACTCCATGTAGCACACCAAGCAAGCGAAGAAAGTAAAAAGAAATGCAAAACAGAGACAGTAAACAGAAATATGAGACAAAAAGAATAGTAATATGGAAGAACAATATAGTTTCATTGGGTATTATATGTCACAAGAAGTAGATGCATCTGCTCAAGCCATTGACAACGATTTTGAGCCATACCACCAACCGTCCCGAGGACCCCAACCAGTGAGGAAGTCTACACCTTCCTACGTGGCTGGCTTAAACTAACTGTTGTAGATTTCATTGACTGATGAAGCTATGTTTTGGTTTGACTACCATGTGCTAGCTGTTTTCCAACCTGACCCTATTTCAGCTAACAATGCCCGTCGAGGAAGGCGGTGGCTAGGAATACGTAACACATGTCCTAACCATCTCAGTCGATGTAGCTTCACGACCCTCCTTACCGAGCACTCGACCGATTCCTCACCTCAATATTGCTTACCCTATTATACGCAGACACCTGTGATCAAAGACAGCTAGTCTCTTCATGTCTTCCACTCCCAAAGGCCAGGTCTCACAGTCATAAAGGAGGACAGAGCGGACTGCTGAGCAGTACACACGTCCTTTGACCGATAGCCAGCCGGATATCACGTCTACGCCAGAGACGGCGTAAACTGGCAAATGCTACACGAGCCTTCTGTATCCGTGCTGAGATTTTTTCAGCGATCAAACCATTGGTGTTGGCTGATACAACTTCCCAAATAAGTGAAGCGGTCAACGTGCTCTACCACTTCACTCCTGCTTATCTGTAAGCTAGGATTCGACGTAGTCCAGTCCTGTAGCGTCATCATCTTACATTTGACGGGAGCGAATCGCATGCCGATTATTCAAAGATTGAAGCTCAAGATGTTGAGAAGACTGCATTTTGTCAGCGTCTTCACCTAGGAGGAAGGACTATATCATCTGCGTATTCTAAATCAACGAGATTGTTCCCTGATGGTAACAAGTCAATCCCTGGGTCCCTGAAGTGAGTTAAGGTTAATTCCACTAGTACATCTATGATGAAATTGAATAGAAATGGGGATAGTGGTCATCCCTGACGGTTTCGTTAAATAGAGTTAACGAAACCATAGACGACACACCCTATTAGAATGTCTAAATTATATATCGTCAAATGTATATGATACGTCAATTTTAATAACACTGTCCTATTGGCATGTGTCTTTCTCTTCTTTGATCTTTTTCTAGGCAAAACGTTTTGAAGTATCCGTTGAAAGTTTGATGAAAGGTGATAATTCTGAAGAAGAAGGAATGAAAGCTGGTTGTTCTGTAAATCAGATACTACAAAGTACACTTCTTTCAGAGGTGAAATGTCCAATACGTGCACAGTAAGTGTAAAAAGACAGAGAGAGGATAACACGATAATTTTTATCATAATGAAGGTTTTTTGTATTTTTCAAGGAGTGAAAAACAAAACGATATTGTTTTTACTGACGTTTCGCTATTTAATGCTGCTCTAATAGCTTTATCAAAGTGTTATTAAACCGGAATTTACAAAATCCACTCAGCTTATATATAACAAAGAGTTAAGAGGTGAGAAAATAGACTACTTAGGTCAAGTTAAAAGGACATATTGAAAGTCAAAATAACAATGAAGATCACTAAACCAAATAAAAAAGGCAATAGTACATCTGTTATGGTATCAAAACAAACTTTACTCACTTGATCATCGTTCGTTAGTCTGACGTCATTTTTCGTTGTCAAGTTGGCCAATTGGTAAAGATAACAAAACCAAGTGTAGATTGTTGGATTTGATCAGTGTGTAACATTATAAATGTAGTGTGTGTTTACATAGTGAACTTGCTTATCACATTCGTGTTGATTTTGTCACTTCATGGGGGAGGGAGGTGTTGTAACCAGGTCAGATTCTGTTTTAGTCCATCATTCCTATTCAGTTCAGACAATTGGGATTCCACTTGATATGAAGTGCCCCTGATGCTATTAGACGTTCTTTATGATTTCTGAAATTTTTCTGGATGATTTCAATATTGTCAAAATCAAGTTTGTGACTTCATTCTATAGCGTATAGGCGAGTTATGGTTGATGATTTTTCAAGTTTTTGTAGTTCAACCGGATTTCTCGGTGGTCGGACAGATACTCTGCTCTACGGTGTTCATTTCTTCTGATTTTGATTTCTTGAGATGTTTTTCCGATGTATATCGCATCACATTCCAAGCATTTTATTTTGTAGACACAATTAGATAAAGAATCTTTAGGGATCTGCTCTTTTATATGGACAAGGTTGTTTCGTAGTGTGTCTGATGTTTTAAAGAACACTAATCAAATCCAACAATCCACACTTGATTTTAATTTTGTTATCTTTACCAATTGACCAACTTGACAACGAAAAATGCCCCCAGACTGACAAACGATAATCAAGTTAGTAAACTTTATTTTGATATCATAACAGATGTACTATTACCTTTGTTGTTTGGTTTAGTGATCTTCATTGCTATTTTAACTTTCAACATGTCCTTTTAACTTGACCTAAGTAGTCTATTTTCTCACCTCTTAACTCTTTGTTATATATAAGCTGAGTGGATTTTGTAAATTCCGGTTTAATAACACTTTGATAAAGCTATTAGAAGCAGCATTAAATAGCGAAACGTCAGTAAAAACAATATCGTTTTGTTTTTCACTCCTTGAAAAATACAAAAACCTTTATTATAATGAATATCATATACCCAATGGCCAAATTTTTTCAAAGTGTTAATAGTGAACTTGGTTTGGACATATATAACGATAATTTTTATTTTTATGATGACGATGTAGTTAGTAGTCTTTTCCAATATTTGTTTGTGTGTGTGTGCGTGCGTGAATTTCTTGTGAAAGTGTAGTAGACAGACATTTGCGTTCTGTCTTTGATATAAAGTGAGTGGTATAATAAGGTGAGTAATATTGTGGTTGGAAGTAGACTATTAAGTAAAGAGGGTACGGTCGATCGATAAGGTTTTAAGGCTACATCGGCATGTGTTGTGTATGTCACATTCCATGAAGCTCTTGACAGTTAATTTAAGCCAACCATGTAGTGAAATGTAGACTGCCAGACTGGCTGAGGGTCCTTGGTGTTCTTAGAGAACCAAATATATGTAGACTGTTGGTGGTGTTACGGGTCGACGAGTGAGATTTTGTTCCAGAGACTATAGTCAGAAGTATACACGTAGAGCATTTTACGCAGTGAATCTAACCTATGTTTGTCATTCTCTAGTCGAAGAGTGATTGGGTCACAGTCAAACGAGGGATAAGTTAGATAGTTTTGCCGTATCTATGTGTATTTATCAGTTCAACTGCACCTGCAGTGACAGATATGTTGGATGTACTACTGCTAGACAGCTGAGCCAACACGTGTTACTGAACATCTCCCATCATAGTTTGCCAAAGGACAGACAAAAATCAACTGTAGTTCCATTTTGTTACATTTGTTATTACAAATATAGCTGAGGCGATAGGTATTCGAACTATTATGCCTCAAATATGCATTCAAAAGAAGTTCATACACAACTATTATCCCTCTCTTGGCCAATTAAGACCTAACCAACTGATGGTGTCACCATCCTACCCCTCAATTTCTCATCATCCCGTGATCGAATTATCACATTTTCATTCAAACATATTTATCGACTATTTCTATCTGAACATTTGTTTGTTTAATCATGCTGTTTTTAATTAGGCGTTTTATCCCAGATCGCTCCACTTTTTCATCTGTGTTATTGAAAGAAGTGTTGATTCTCAGGAATTTGATTGGTTCCAAGATTTCATCATGAACTGACATCGGTTAGAGGACCATTGAAAAACCAGATGGGAGTACTGGACAGCTGTTTCATCAGCCTAGTTTAGGACTCTTCACTGCACGCATTCACCACAAGCGTTCGAACCCAAGACCTAGTTACAAGGAGATCTCGTAGACCATTAAGCCACTGAGACCCGATCAAATGGGCCATAAACTACAGCTTACGCCAATTCACGATTTGGCGTGACCACTAACCAGTGTGGCTGGCTGGCTGGTTTCAACATAGAACTTTGCACAGATGTGCAGCAGTTCAAGTCGCCACACTGTATGGCACACAAAGCAAGAGAAGAAAGTAGAAGAAATGCAAAATAGAAACAGTAAACAGGGACATAAGGCAAAAAGAATAATAATATCGAAGAACAATATAGTTATTTTGGGAATTATAAGTCACAAGGAGTGGGTGCATCTGCGCCGGCCATTGAGAACGATTTTGAGCCATATCACCAATTGTTTCAACCATTGGTTTTTACCGTACCGAGGACCCCAACCAGGAAGTCTACACCTTCCTACGTGGCTTAGACTAACTGTTGTAGATTTCATTGACTGGTGCCATGTCTTCGTTTGACTGCCACTAGCTCTTCTCCAGTCTGACCCTATATCAGCTAACATTGCCCATTGTCGAGGAAGGCAATAGCTAGGCATACGTAACACATGTCCTAACCATCTCAGCCGATGTAACTTCATAGCCTCATCGATTAATTTACCCTCCCACCGACCGATGCCTGACCTCAATATTGCTCACCTTATTATACCACCATATCACACGGGAGATAGAACGCAGACACTTATGATCAAAGACAGTTAACCGGCCTTTTCATGTCTTCCACTCTCAATGGCCCGCCCACACACTTCCAAAAGCACACTAGCCAGTGTCATCGATGGCGAGTATTTGTCCTCACAGCCAACCAGCTTTGCCCTACTGGTCACTAACCCCGGTGGTTGAGTGCTGATGAGGAGTCCCGAACTATGACGAATCAGCTGTCCAGTACTTCTTGTTGGCTTTCCAATGATTCTCTTACTGATATCACTTCATGATGAAATCATGGAAAGAATCATTATTATTATTATTCTTAAGACTAATTGCGTAATATACATGCACAATCTTATTATCGTATTGACAAATCACCGTGGTTGGTTTTACGTTTTAATATTGATTTGTAAAGTTGTGAATCAAGTTTGACTACGGATTTATGTCGTTTGGAGAATGATTAAAAACTCCCAGGGAGTACCGGACAGCTGTCTCAACCCTAGTTTGAAACTCATTTCCAGTGCGCACCCACCCTTCGGGTATGGCTCAAAATTATTCTCAATGGCGCAGATGCGTCCACTCCTTGTGACTTATGATTGTTGTTCTTCGTTATTACTATTCCTTTGTCTCATACCTCTGTTTACTGTCTATATTATGCATTTCTTCTCTTGCTTTGTGTGCTACATAGAGGGAGTGTGGCGACTTGAACTGCCGCATATATGTGCAAAGTTCTATGTCGAAATTAGACAGACAGGCGCACCCACCCTAGGGGTTCAAGCCCTTCTCGTTACAAGTCAAACTCGTTGACCATTCAGCTACTGGGACCCTATTGACTGGCCATCGCTTGAATTCTAACTTTTACCAATTCGTGATGCATTTAGCGCGACCACCAACCAGTGTCATCGGTGGGAACTGCATCCTTACTGCCAACTGGATGGACTCCACTGGTTACGACTTCTCACTAGAACTCACTCCAGTCAAGTGCTTCCTGTAACCAGTCACTAGCGAGCATCAGATTAATTTTCGTGAGTTTGTTTGTAGGGATTTGATTTATTTCAAGTTTCACGACGGTTAGAGAACTTTTGAAAACCAGGGATTGGTAGAAGTTAGAATTCATGGATTGGCCATTGAATAGAGTCCTAGTGACTGAATGTTCTTTGAGTTTGACTTGTTGTAACTGGAAGGCCCTGGGTTCGAAACCCTGTGGTGGATGCGCACTGAATATGACTCACACACACACTTGAATGAATCAGTTGTTCAATACTCCATGCCGGGTTTTAATGGTTCTCTAACTGATATCGATCCGTGTATTGTCAAACTTGAAGTAAACCAAATCCTTACACACAAACTCGTGGAACTTGTTATGTTTATTAGAGTTCAACCTGATATGACCAGTAGGGTGTAGCAGGTTGAAGGTGAGGCAGTAACCCATCGAAGAAGACATTGCGAAGTAATTGTGCTATGTCATGGATTGGCAGAAGTTGGAATTCATGGGCTGGCCATTGGATCAGGTCCCAGTGGCTTAATGGTCTACGAGCTCGCTGGCCTTGTAACCAGAAGGTTCTGGTTTCGGACCGTGGCGATGGGTGCGAACTGATGAAGAGTCCAGAAACTAGAGCGAAATTGCTGTCCAGTACTCCCTGGTGGTTTTTCAATAAGCCTCTAACCGATGTCACCTCATGATGAAATCCTCCGACCAATCAAACAAAATTCCCTACAAAACCAATAGCTAAAAAATTAATCTGATATGACCTAATTGAAAGTACAATATAATTCTAAATTATTTTTTCTATAATTCTTGCTATTTCTGTTCTCAAAACATTTTATAGAATGCTAGCAGAATTCATTGTTGAACTACACGCCGTATTCGATCGTCTGCATTTTACATATTTGGAGATTAATCCATTAGTTATATGCAAATGGAATCTACTCAATAATGCGAATAATAATAATAATGATAATAGCAGCAGCGGCTTGTACCTTCATATATTGGATGTGGCAGCAAAATTAGATCAATGCGCTGAACACTTATTCACATCAAGTTTGGAATGGACAGTTAATGGAAAAATGTTAGAATTTCCATACGGTTTTGGTAAAAGTCAAAGTAAAGAGGTAGGTTATGTTGCTGAAAGGTTTTAGTTTTGTCTTTAGTAAATTAAATCACCCCCAACCCCCTCTAGGCACAACAGAGGGACCTGATGGAATGATTCCAGAGGTGTTTAAGGAGTTTAAGATGGAGAGACAGTTTACTGTCTGCGTTAACTAAGATATTAGGCAATACGTCTGAGAATCAGAGATAGTCTCATCGGGCTTGTGTAAATCATTGATTATCCCGTTATACAAGATAATCATAGGAGCATGCATGGGAGAAAAAAACACGAGAGAACCAGACAGGTTTTAGACCAGCAAGAGGGTGTATTGATGATATCTTCACCCTTCAACAGATTTTGGAACTTAGGCATTCTCACCACAGGTGTCCAACAACTGCCATTTTTCTTGACCTGAAGACGGGATTCCACACTTCATTTATTTGGGAGGTTGCATTATACTCAACGAACTGACTGCTGCTGACGAAATCTCGGTTAGAGAACAATTGGAATACCTTTGATTACTGGACAGCTGTTTCGTCCTAGTTCGGGACTCTTCACGGTACGCACCCATCGCCAGGGTTTGAACCCAGGACCTCATGGCTACAAGGCTCTTGAGCTCGTCGACCATTAAGCCACCGGGACCAGGTCCTATGGCCAGTTCATGAATTCTAACTTCTGCCTATTCACGACATAGGGCGACCACTTCGCAATGTCTTCTTCAATGAGTTACTGCCTCATCTTCAACTTGCTGCACCCTACTGGTCACAGCTTCCCTTTAGAACCCCAGGTCGCTGCCTGAATGGGGCTTCTATAGCTTCCGCCATAGTTAAGAGACGTAATCGTATACCCCAAGGTAGATTGCTTTGAGAAGTTATATCCGGTGAGGGAATTGAATCATAGGTGTGAATGCATCAAATAAAAATAGCAGTATGAAATGCAATTAAAATGTTAGTGATTATACTCATAGTTAAATGTCAAGTGGCGAAACAATTAATGTCATACAATTCATAGGATGCATAGGACTTGGAAGGAGTGTGCAATTATAGGCAAATCGAATGAAATTAAAACGTTACGTAGCCTTGTGTGAAATTTGATAGCATAGAATTTAACGTTGTAAAAAGGAATTGATTTCGAATGACAAGTGGAACGATTGAAATAATACTGGGGAAAGTTCAAATTGAGAATAGTAATAGTAACAATTGACATTGTAATAAAGGAAGAGTATACAAATTGAATAGACAAAATGAAAAAAATCGGTAGAGCCAAAATATGATTAGGGATTACCATACTTTAGCATAGTAGAGGGATTAAAACCATGAAAGTTGGAGAGGTTAAACGAAATTTTTCTATATATAGAGGTCTGGCTTTTCTGTGTTGATAGTTAAAGATGGTTTCAGCAATACAAATGAGTTGGGTACGTAGGGATTTGGATAAATGACTTTTTGCCTCGTAAATGACTTTAAAGGCGGAGGCTGTAGAGATAGGGTGATCATTATCAAACAAGATATTCAATGATAGCGCTTCTTATTACTCCACTTCCACCTCTTCGTAACTATCATGCAGGATAGTGTTCTTGCACCTTCTTGAACAAAACTCGAGTTGAAAGACCGATATACCTAACACCATACGGCCAGGTGAATTGATAAACGCACATAGAGTAAGTTAGTCAACTGCGGGATCTTGTCCTTCAGGTTATTGAACAACATAATGGTCGACTGGTGAAGACTATTCTCAAAGATGCATCAGGGAATGTTCTTTTCAGGGACTGTGATATCCTTCTTTATATGATTTCGGAAGCTAAGTGTACTTGTCCTTTCGTTTAATTGATATCCGTATATTCTTATTTTGTTCATTAGGAAGCTTATATAGCCAAGTTGGATGCACGTACTGGAGCCTCATTGAAATTATCAATTCTTAATCCAGGTGGTCGTATATGGACAATGAGTGCTGGTGGTGGCGCTTCAGTCATCTATGCTGACACAGTGTGTGAATTAGCTGAAAGAGTTAAAGCAGCCGGCGGTGCAAGTCAAGGTGCTAGAGATTTAGCCAATTACGGGGAATATTCTGGTGCACCATCGGAAGAATTGACGTATGAATATTCGAAAACTCTGTTATCTTTAATGACGAATGGAGATCCACATCCAGATGGTAAATATTCACGCATTATTGATGGTGTATTTACTATTTTCTCCTTTTTTCCCCAGTATTTATTGCTTTTTATGTTCACCTCCGTGAATACAGAGTAGACGCAGGTGATAAAGATAACTAACCAACAGCAAACAACAACTGGAACCAATCGCCATCAATGGGAGAGATTTGAAGCATGGTTTCAATCACAGGCCGGCGCGGAACTGATAAAGATGTGAAAGCCAGCCAGCCAGTCAGAATCGGAAAGGCAAGATACGCCTACATCAACACCATTGTTAAGTCACTCAGTTCTTGTGTGTACGGGTCAGAAACTTGCACTGCGAGCCGGTCACGAAAAGGACTTCCAACAAGTTATAGACTTTTATCAACAACTGCCCACTTCGCTGGCTCCATCCTGAAGATCATATGGCCGGTCGGCCGGGCCAGAAAGAATCAGCAACAAGAAACTCTGAGAGGTGACGAACCAACGAAAAGCCGATCGCTCAACAAATATGTAGGAGAAAATGGAGATGGAGGCTGGTTGTTGTTGTTGGTGGTCGGTGAGTAGTTCGGTTATCTTCATCACCACTGTCTTCTCTGTGTTAACCTGGAGTCCTGTCTTCGTTGGCTGCTTCTTCAGTCAATCTGTTGGTTTTAGCCTGCAAGTCTTCCACTTTGTGTGACATTAGACATATGTCATCTGTGGAATCCAGATCTTCTAGAATCTTCTTATCGGTCGTCCAGCGTACTCCTGTCTCCTCTCTGCCTGTGCACAGTTTCCGTTATGGATCACCTGACACGTGGCATTGTCTCTTATATAGCTGTTGAATCAGGTTGATAAATACTTGAGCACCGCATGTCGTAGTGTTGAAGTACTTTACAAATTACTTCTCGGTGAACGTTATCTGTCGAAGATCTTTTCAACGTGGATGAATTTGAGGTGGGACTGCTGTTCTATGCTTTACTCTTTGATAATGACGATGCACAGAGTTGCAATTTGACCAGTACTTGATTTGCCTTTCCTGAATGCAGCTTGTTCCGGTAGAGCTGCCGGAGTTCCGCATCTCGTGCATCTTTATATTCACTTCAGGATGACGTGGCTTTGTATTTTCCTTGGTGTCGACAAAAGCATGATTTTGAACAAAGCAAGAACTACAGTTTTAGCAGAATAAAATGGTACCATCATTGTTTATTTCGTCGCCTTCTCGTCAGCTGCTTACAGGGCAAAGAAAGACATTATTAAATGTATCTACAAAAACAATTTTAACATACTTGCACAGGGTTCATTTTAAACAAAAATCAATCGATCAGTATACGCATACACTAATAATATATATATATATATTTGCAATATTAAACAGTATTCCGAACAATAATTATCATACACAATGAAAACTTCTCAGCATCTCGCATTCGGATGAAAAATATCCAGTTACCAGGCAGGGCAAAGAAAGACTGATAACCGCTTCTTTCTGAAAGCATAAATCAGTTTTCAGGCGCTTGATGGAAATGGCTTCAGCAAACTTAAGGAGAATTGAACTCTTTTGCATATTGATAATTTTGAACGAATTTTCGACATCCACCTCATGATCCGTGTCGAGGAGATGCCTTGCGATGACTGCCATTGTTTAAAGCATTTGTTCCCTTTAGACGTAAGCTTTTTGGTACATACATGTTCAGAAAATCGTAGATATGTCCTTCTTTTGTAGATACATTTAATAATGTCTTTCTTTGCCTTGTAAGCAGCTGACGAGGAGGCAACGAAATAAAAGATGTTACCATTTTATTCTGCTAAAACTGTAGTTCTTATTATATTATTATTATTGTTCCCTTGGGTTCCTAGTGGAACATAGGGCTTCAACTGCACGTCTCCACTTGATTCTGTCTTCTGCTGTACTTCTCACTTGCATCCATGTTAGTCCATACTGTTTCAACTCCTCTTCACACGATCTCCTCCATGTCACCCTTGGACGTCCCACTCGCCGCTTCCCTTTCGGGTTCCACTCGAGCAATGGCCTGACGCGCGATGTCACCCAGCGGCCTCCTCAGCGAGTGTCCAATCCATCTCCACTTTCTCCTGCATATTTGTTGGGCGATTGGTTCTTGTTTTGTTTGTTCCCATAGTTTCTTGTTGGTGATTCTTTCCGGCGGCCATCTGATCTTGAGTATAGAGCCAGCGAAGACAGTTGTTGATAAAGGTCTGCAACAGGCTGTTGGAAATATTCTTTGTGACCCGCCAAGTTTCTGATCCGTACGTATAGAAGAACTGACTGACTTGACGTTTGTATTGAAAATCCGAATTTTGTTGTTGTTGATGTTGAGGAGTGACGAAGATTTCCAGATTGGTTTCAGGTTGATGAATGTGTTTCTCGCCTTCCCGATTCTCGATTTGACATCCTCGTCCGTCCGTTCCTCCTGTAGTTGAGACAATGCTCCCTAGATAAGTGAATGAAGTAACCTCTTTCAAATCCCTCCCGTTGATGGTGATTGACGCTGGATGTTGCTGCTGCTGTTGTTGTTGTTGGTTGGTTATTTTCATAACCTCCGTCTTGTCTATGTTCACCTGGAGTCTTGTCTTTGCTACTTCTTCGACCAGTTTGTCGGTTTTCGCTTGTAAGTCTTCGAATTTGTGTGACATCAAACATAAATCATCCGCGAAATCTAGGTCTTTTAAGTTCTTCACGTCGGTTCAGGATATCCCTGTCTTCTCATTTTCCACTGTCTGACGCATAATCCAGTCCACCACAATTAGGAATATCATTGGTGATAATAAGCACCCTTGTCTGACTCCTGTGTTTACTCCAAACGCGTCGCTGAGTTTTCCGTTGTGGATCACTTGACATGTGCCGTTGTCGTACAGCTGTTGAATAAGGTTGATGAATATTTGGGGTACGCCGTAGTACTTGAGTAGTTTCCAAATTACTTCGCGGTCAATGCTGTCGAAGGCCTTCTCAAAGTCTATGAAGGAAGTTGAGGTAGAGGTTTGATTGCCATTCCATGCTTTGTTCGATGATGATGCGTAGAGTTGCAATTCGGTCAGAACATGATTTGCCTTTCCTGAATCCAGCTTGTTCTGGTCGGAATTCTGTATCCAGTGCGTCCTTTATTCTCTCCTGGATGATGCGACTCAGAATTTTACTTGGTGTCGACAGGATCATGATTCCTCGCCAGTTCTTGCAGAGTCCTAAGTCGCCCTTCTTTGATAGTTTCTCGAAGTAACCTTTCCTCCAGTTCTTGCTTTGTTCAAATTCATAAAGGGGAATAAATGTATGAAAAGCATAACTCACGTGCAATATACTACTTATAGAATCTTGTGAGTATCACTGACCACATCAACAGGATGACATAAAAATGTAGTATAAAACGACATTTACTGATGGGTGATAGGTGGAACGGAACGCGGAAAATAATAATGAAGATATAAGCTAAAGGAAAAGGTTCGAAAATCAAATATATATGTAGTGTATGACTTTAGAATGCGAATTTTCAAGGCCTTTTTTTTCTTACGAACAAGTTGTTGAGACGAAATATTGATTTGTCGACTTCTTTATATGATTGGCTGATAGCTTCTTCAAATTGCATAACCTATATACATACATACATGCTCACGTGACTAGGGATCTTTTCCCTTGTCATTTTCGTTTCCTTACTGACTCCTCCCCTCCCTTCCTCTATCTCTGTCTCATTGACTGAAAGGAAAAGGAAAAAGACAAAAAAAGCCAGAAAATAAGATGAGATGAAATAAAATGAAATGCTCTTTTTGCATAGCGTGATTCGACTGAAGATATTTAAGATGGAGGAGTTGTTTTCCTCACCCTCTCCTCCTGAAAAGTAGGCAGTTTTGATGTTGGATATTGCGTATTGCGTAATGCATTTTTTCTTTAGCCAAGAAAATTTATGACTGCATCTTCTTGTCAAGTTGTGTGTGTGTGTGTGACTTTTAAGTGAGAATAAGGAAATGCTACAAGCAAGATTGGTTTAGAATAAACGCAATAAAATGAATGCGATATTGAAGATTGATGTGAGCGAACACTCTACTCATTTGGTGGTGGTACACACATAGATAAAATTTTTATGCTATATATATAACTACTGATAGGTTGACATGGTGAGTAGTGAGATATCCGAATTCTGGATGGTTATTTCGTCGAACTTCAAGGAAACATATATACAGTCGTTTTAGGAAAGAAGGAAGAAGGGACAAGATAAGGAAATAGCTCTCAGCGGATACACCTGGATGCCAGTAGAATAGAGATATGAAGATGGCGGAACAGAAGTTGAATCAATGCAAAGATGGACAATAGAAAGAGAAGCTTAGTTCAACATACATCTCACTGGATAAAGAAGTGTAGAAGAAGAAGAGTTGTTGGGAAGGACGAAGACAATTCCACGATATACTGGAAACTGAAGGAGAACAGGCGAACCCCTGGTAACGAGCTCAGAACAGCAGTACACCGTCTACAATGGAGAGTCCTCCACTACCTCACTTACTTTAGCTGGTGTTCCTCAAGGTGCTGTTCTTTCTCCTTTTCTGTTTTCTTTTTTCTTACATGACTTGCCCTATTCTGATGTAGCCACTTTTGTCAAGTATGCTTATGACCTCTCTGTCTCTATGCCTGTCAACTCTCAGTCAGATTGTTCCAAATTAAATAACTTTCTGTCGGAAATTAGTCAGTGGTCCTCTTCAAACGGTCTTAAGCTGAATTCGTCTAAATGCCAGGTAGTCAATTTCACTTTCAGATGAAAACGTAACCTACAACAACTAGCTAACTCACATGGCCCCACTATCATTGACGGCGTTGAGGTTGAAATTACATCTAATGTCAAGTACCTTGGACTGAGTGTTTCCTCCGATCTTTCCTGGTCATCTCACATCTTGCTAGTTACTAGAAAGATGTTTCGCTTAACGTTCTACGTTAGGAAATTAACACAGTCTGGTAGAAAGCAGTCCTTGCTTTCTCAGTTTGTCAGTTCTTGTATTCTACCCATCCCTCTTTACTGCTCCCCATTAATCTTTCCTGGATTACTTAAGAAAGATTTTGCTTTGCTGAGAAGGGCACTAAAAGCTGTTAGTAAGGGAAGGAAGTGGGGTATCGTTAAACCAACTGGTTAACATTATTGTGGATAGACATATAATGTCATGTAAGAAACTAGCGAATACTATATTGTCAGACCCTGAGCATCCTCTCTATACACAGCTCTCTCCTTGCATTTCATCTGGTAGAGCTAGAAGCAACTATAGGAGGCTATATGCTAGGACTACCAAGTACAAAAACTCCACAATACCTTATCTGGCACAGCTGTTATGTGATGAGAAGTCCGTTAGGTATGACACGATCAATTTACTGTGGCACTCTAACAATTAGTCCCATTAGCTTTTGTTTTCCTTTGTTCGTTACTATTATATTGTTGTTCACATATTCTATTTCACACTAATTTTATATTTCATATTCCTGTGGTGCATTGTTTAAATATGTGAATGCAACGCTGTTCTTTTTTTCCTCTTTTTATTTCTTTTTATTTATCTATTTTTTGTTGTTGCTTTTTTGTTTTTAAAATCTTATAAAATTTATGAGGTAATCAGATGCAATATTATAATGCACGCTGAAAATTCCACACCTGTACCACAAATACTGTTTGGAATAAAGCTGTTATTATTCCTATTATGTCAGATAACGAGGTATCTATCCGGAAAAGGATCAACGCAGATAAAACCTAAACAAATACATTCAAGAGAACTTAATGACCCAAGAAGAGAAACAAAGAAAACAATAGGCTGATCACTTCAAAAGACTTTAGAATAGACTATCACCTGGAAATCGTCGAGGAATACCACCAAGAGCACTCACAGAACTGCGAGTTGACACCAGTCCTCCAACAAAATTTGAATTCTTGGATGCACTTAAGCTTCTAAAGTCCGGAAAGGCAGCAGGACCAGACGGAATTCCCCCTGAAGCACTCAAAATGGACCTAGAGACCGCAGCGGATATGCTCGTGCAATTATAACAAAATGTTTAAAAGGAGGGAAAGAAAGGCTACTTTGCCAAGCTATCAAAGAAGAGTGGCGTAGGCCCGTGGAAGAACAGGCGCGGAATAATGCTGTTGTCCACGCCAAGTAATACTAAGTTGCGTTATCCTAGAGAGACTAAATGATGCACTGGATGCAGAACTCCGCTAGCCCGGAACAAGTTAATCTTAGTGTTTCTGTGGTTCCTCCTATATTTTTGAATAAATTTTGGCGGGCAGTTGGTTGTTCACTAGTAATATTTCCTTTATTTGTTTAATTTCATTATTTAAATCTTCTGACTTACTAGTTAGGCTCTCTCCTGGCCTAATTATGTAGACATTTAAACTAAGCTTATCTTTACCGATTCACTCCTGCTTATTTTTAAGCTAGGCGTCTATGTGGTCTAGTCCTGTAGCATCATTTTGACATTTGATGGGGAGACAATCACATGCCAAACATTCGAAGATTACTGCTCCTCAGGGTATTCAGAAAACTGCATTTTTTCAACGTCTTCATGACCTAGAAGGACTACATCATCTGCATATTCTAAGTCAAAGTTAGGACAAAGGTGGAAGTGTTTTAGTGAGTGAGTGGTGAATCGTCAAGATTGTCACGATAAAATCTCAATGATTCTTTTGGATCACAATGAAATTCGCCAAACCTGATGGTGAAACACGAACATCTAATTGAAAATCAACTGAGAGATGCTTGAAGGAACATGAAAAATATAAATCCGTAGTCTCGTCAGATTTATCTGAACGTTTGAATGGACTGCGGAAAATTCACAAAACACGATTACTCCTCCTGTGGTGAGAGCTGTCTGCTAGCTAAAATTGTAGACAACAATTTACGTCCCGAATTGGGGTCATGAGAAAAAACAATAACAAAGCTTAACCTTGAGGAACTCACCAACCAATCACACCAGACTGAAAGTGTGTAAATACGATTCGCAGATATCTGGCTTAATTTTCTGAGAATCGGTTACAAAGCATTACAGAATAACCTTCAGCGGGAAAACAACCAATCAGAAGCCGTTGCTTCCCTGCTAACCATAGCCCTAATAATAATGTACATAAAAATTTACAAATATCTCTCGATTTTCTCAAACAAACGATCTGTTACCTGGCCCTTGTCTTCTGTCGTTGCACTCTATCCCATTGCCGATATGGCGGGTTCTTTTTTATCACAGAATTGCCTGATGGCTAGGTGGAATACTGGAACTAGTTAAAAGGCAAGTATCTAAGTTTTCCATATTTTTTTATTTTTCATTTTTATAATTTTATTTTATTATTATTTATTTTCTGATTAATTTAATTATTTAGGCAAAGTTTTGCTGATCGGTGGAGGAATTGCAAATTTTACAAATGTTGCTGCCACTTTCAAAGGTATTGTACGTGCATTGACAGAATTCAAGGAGAAACTTCAAACACACAAGATACGTATATTTGTACGTCGTGCTGGTCCAAATTATCAAGAAGGTCTTCGAGTTATGCGTGAATTAGGTAGGTGATGGTGGTGGTGGTATCGGTGTGTGTGTGTGTGGAGGAGTAATTTTATACATTTGTGATATATGTTGAGTTACTTTATACGTCTTTACGACTGACGTAGGTATATAATATATGGCAACAGAAAAGAATCGATACCAAAGTCAAATAACCTTGAACCAACCAATCAGATCGCTGCTCAGCATTACAAATCGATACATTTCGTTATCTTCGTTGCAAGCTTCGCCTTAACCCCTTAATCATAACCCTACCTTAATCCTATTATTAACTTAAACCTAAATCAGGATGGAACTTACAAGGAAGATTATGAAAAGCATTGATTTTTAATACTGAGCAGCGATGTGATTGGTTGATTCAAGGACATTTGGCCTTTGTGTCCATTCTTTATTGTTGTCATATATATATATGCGGTTAAATGTTTGTTTGATGTTGACGTTCATGTAACTTGTTCACGAATAAACGTTTCTTCAGTTGTGTACAGTTGCTTTGCCCTCTGGATGACTGATGATGATGATGATAATGATGATGGAAAGCGGCAGGATGCAACTTGGAGCTGTTCATTCAGTCAGTCAGTCGTTTTCAGGTGTAAGTTGAATCACCAAATCAAGGAAAACAGCTGTCCAACTGATATGTTATGTTGAAAGATATTTGTTTAAATGTCATTCCAAAATTTCTTTTTTTAGATATTTCGCTTTCCTTTAAGGTTTTGAGTGGAACATAAGGCTTCAACAGCTCCATTCCACACTGTTCTCTGGTGTCCTCTTTAGCTGGCTGGCCGGCCCCACGATAACCTATAAACTGTCATTTCCTCCCCGTGACTCGATCTCCTCCATGTCACATTTGGACTCACGCTCAACTCATCGTTACCCTTTCAGGTTCTACTTGAGTGATGTCATTTAACGATTTCCTCAGTATGTGTCCGACATATCTCCACTTTCTTTCACCTAGCGGTTGAGCAGGAGGAGGTTATTGATAGTTTCAGTCTCAGAGTTTCTTGTTGATAATTCTCTCCGGCCGACCAGACATCTGATCTTCAGTAGGTGAGGCATCTGTTGATTAAAGTCTTCACTAGCCGCCTATTCGAAATGCTTTTTCATGACGTGAACATCAAGTTTCTGATCCATGGAAAAGAGGCAATAACTGTGACTTATGCTGAATGGATGGAGCCGATTTCCAACCTGGTTTCATTGTAAAGAAAAGTAATTATAACGAACAGTTGTATGGTTCCAGTGAATTCCTCTTCTTCAGGCTCTCTACAATTACAAATCCGATAATTTTAGCATAGAGAACAGTGCCAGTTAAAGGCAAATTAGAATTGTATATCAGAAATTGTAGTGTGGGACAATTACAAGATGGAAAATAACAATGATCATTTAGTTTTTGAATCAGGTCCTAGTAGCTGTGAGTTGTCAACGAGCTCGCGTTGTAACTTGATGGTTTTGTGTTCTGACTGACTAATTGGTTTCAACATAGAACTTTGCACAGATGTACAGCAGTTCGAGTTGTCACTCTACCTCCATGTAGCACACAAAGCAAGACAAAAGAGAGTAAAGAGAGATAATAAACAGAAATGTTAGGCAAAAAGAATAGTAATATGGAAGAAAAATAGAATTTTATCGGATATGACAAATCTCATGGAGTGAATGCATCTGCACCAGCCATTGAGAACGATTTTGAGCCATTTCATTAGCAATTGTCTCCAGCCTTCATTGGTTCTTACCATCCCGAGGACCCCAACCAGCCAGTCACGAAGTTTACACCTCCCTGTGTGGCTGGCCTAAACGAACTGTTTTGGATTTCACTAACTGATCGATTATATGTGAAGTAACATGTAGCGTCGAGGAAGGTGATGGCTGGGCATGCGTAACACGTGTCCTGACGAGTGATTTGTCCAAGGGTGACATGGAGGATAGTGCTCCGAGTCTTTATCTACCTCATTCATTCAACAGCCATATGACAATCCTACGTCTCATGTGATGCACAACGACGAACTCAGTGGAGACATCAGTAAAACGAAGTTGTTAACCTACAATCACTCACAATCACATTCTTCATTGTGATGGACTGAATTATGCGTCGAACTGTGGAAAGCCAGAAGATAGGTTATATGCGCTGTACCCATAGAAAGATTAGAAGATATGGATTTTTTTGTGGATAATTTATGTGTGATATCAAACAAACTCTAATACGTGCAGGCGAAAATACACAAGTTTGAAAGCAGAAGAAGAAGCAGCAGCCAGTGAAGACACGACTCCTTGTGAACATAGAAAAGCCGGAGGTGATGAAGATAACCAACCACCACGAACAACACAAACAACTATCAATTATTATCTCAACGAAATAAGTTTGAGAGACAACACAATAAGAAGATGTAGTTTATCTGAAACGTGTAATGTATTGGTGCAGCACATTTTGGACATTTTGATCACACACGTACTTGTCATACACAGTTTTTATAGAAGACAGGAAGGCATGAGTAAATACAATACAGGCCAGATTGTGTACAGATCAAGGTCACAAATAATGGATAGGGAGACGCAAAAGGTGTGGGTAAGAAAGAGAAGAAGAGATAAAGCAGATAAAGAAGGGGTTGAAAATATTATGAAGTAAATTAAACCTTGGTTCTAAATTGGGTTACCAAGGCAGGTTTAAGGTGATAAGAAATAACTTTTGGACACGTAAGACAGGTTTAAGTCTTTTTATGTCTAAGGCTTCAATAAATTTAAGTATGTGGCCCAACCTTGTTTTATATATAGGCTTAAAGGCATTGTTGAAATCAACCTTATGACCCGTCTCCATAATGTGCTTCGCTATAGATGATGTTGGACATCTATTTTCGGGGTCGGTTTTGTCTGGCGATTTCATTTGGTGTTGCAGCCACTTCACTTTAACCTAGACAGAATTGTTTCAACCACAGGCAGACAGTTGGAACAGATGAAGATGTCAAACACAGTCAGAATCGGAAAGGCAAGGTATACCTTCATCAATCTGAATTCAGTTTGAAAATCTGCTCCACTCACTCGGCATAAACAATGAAATTCGGATTTTCAACACCAATGTTAAGTTAGTCAGTTCTTCGCTGTCGGTCAGGAATATGGCGCTCGTGTCACGATAAGCATTTCTAACAGACTGCTGCAAACTTTTATCAACAGCTGCCCACTTCACTGGCTGGCTGGCTGGCTGGCGAGAAAGAGAGAATTATCAACAGGAAACTTTGGGAATGAACCATACAAGGAACAATTGCTTAGCAAATATGCTGAAGAAAGCGGAGATGGATTGCGTATACCCTGAGGAGACAGTCATATGACATCGCACCGTTGCCAGACCGTGACATGGAGGAAATGAGAGACTGTGGGTATTCGTGGAGCCAGTCAGCTAAAGCGGACCTCGGAGAATCGGGCAAAGTGGATATATGTGATGCTGTTGAAGCCCTATGTTCCACTCGATACTCGAGGGAACAATAACAATAATAGCAATATAGATGATATTTTAAAGCCAGTAAACGATTATAAACCCTCATTTGCTTTAACAGTTGTTACTCTGTTATGTTTTTGATAATTCCTAGGTCATACAATTAATGTACCGATTTATGTATTCGGTCCTGAAACACATATGACGGCTATTGTATCAATGGCATTTGGTCTACGTGAAATACCTTCACCAAAGCCTGGCTCTTCGCATACCAACACATCTGATAGCCTGTCGTTGTGTAATCTTAGTACATCTAGTCATCATGACTACAACAAGGTGAGTAATAGTCATAGTCGTAGTAGTAGTAGTAGTAGAACATAAAACGTGTATATTCAATTAATTTTTGTATTCTGATAATGCTTAGATTGGTGGTGACTTGTGAACCACAGTGTGGAGACGTAACTCTGTGGTTTTAACACATTCGACTTACACTTAGCAACGGATTTCAGCTTGAGCAACTGTGTGTGAAGTATCGTCAGCTCTCACATAAAACAAACTTGTTCATGGGTGTCAGCCGGTACACTAACTGACTGACTTTCAACATAGATGATCTCTGCACGGAAGTGCAACAGTTTGCCACAGCTTCGGAACCCCAAAAAATTGTGAACTCCCCAACCGCCCTATGGGGCTCAGACCTGCATCATCACCTTGTATTTGACTGGAGCAAATCGTATACCTCAAACATCTGAAGATTTCTCCTCAAGATGTGTTTAGAAGGCTGCAATTCATCAGCGTCTCTGCTTAGGAGGACTATATTGTAACAACAGAAGACAAGGGCTAGGCAACAGATCGTTTATTAAGGAAAATCAACACATATTTATAGATTTTAATGTACATTATTGTTAGTAGAAAATACAGTCTTTTGATTGGTTGTTTCTCACAGAAAGTTAACCTTGCATCTCTTTGTGGCTGTGTCAAATCATCCATATGCTAACTGTGTCTGCCTACGCAAAGCCTTTGTTCTTATTTTCTCACCACCAATATTGGGGACATAAACATTGACGTCAATTACTGTCTACCAACTTTGGCTAGCAGCCAGCTCACACCACAATACCACCTGCATATTCTTAGTTGACAGAACCATTCCCTTGTGGTTAAAAATCAGTCCCTGAGTTACTGAAGTTGGTTAGGGTTAATTCCATCAGTGAATCAATGATTAAATTAAACAGAAATGGTGGGTGGGGGGTGCAGTGGGAATCCATTGATAGACACTACTGGTTGTCATCACTTCGATTCGCGATTCTCCGTGAGCTCTTGCATGGATACGTCAGTTCGAATAGAGTACCTTCGATGGATGTACTTTCTCGGTACTTCCTTCACAGCCAAACATTTACATGTTACCTCTCAGTCGACCGAATCTAATGCCGCTCTCAGGTCGACAATTATGACGATTGTTGTAAGCCAGTTGTGAGTATGCCTATGTTCCAGAAGCTGTCGAAGGATGAATATATGATCAATAGACCCTCTATTTGATCTAAAGTCTGCCTGATTCTCTCGTGTTTGTTTCACCGGAGCCGTGCTCAATCTACACATGATTATTGAGCCTAGGAACTTCAGATATCGTAATGGTCAAGCTAATCGTCCGGGATAATCAATGACTTACACAAGCCCGATGAGACTATCTATAATTCCCAGACGTGTTGTCTAATACCTTAGTTAACACAGATAGCAATTGAGGTTGGTACTGGGGAGTAACTATTTTCTAACAATGAGCAGTGTTGATCAGTGCCAATTAGTTTTAACTTTGATCCCAAGTGAGATACAAATAAATTTTTGTTTTCATCACAATTTTACTATTCAAGTCATCAAAACAATTAAATAATAGGCTTCGTGTGCTTTTGGAAGTGTGTGGGCCGTTGTTACTTCCCGGCTGCCCACACCGTGGAATTTGATTGGTTCTTCGGGAACCTGAAACAGAGTGTTGCGTGACCGCGGAGCCCAGGGGACAACTGCTTGGGGCCGGTCACACGCGGCCTGCTTTTGTTTGTTCTTTTTCATTTGGTGTGTCTCAGTAGCATATTTATCACTTCTGCCCTGTGACATGGCAGCAGGAATCGTGGTCGTTGTTAATCCAGGCCCCGACCGATCCGGCATGATATTTTGTGATTTTTGTTTGAGTCATAGCATTGGATTGGGTAGCTGCTTTTTGTCTAACCGCTATCCAAACAACCTTTCTGGCATGGTAGGACCTCAAGTGACATAAGTCTCAGCCAGTATAGCTTGTAGGGTCATTGCGGTGTTCAAGCCCGACCACCACGTCAAGGTAGCAGATTTCGGTCGGGAATTAACTGATAGATGTTAATTCATGAATAATTGCGAGCCAGACATTGATGAAAACAAAACACCGTAGTTCAGCAAAGAGTCGCTTTTCGGTGGCGAATTCGTTCATTTAGCTATACAATCGCAATGGTGTAAATACTTATTTTTGTATGTGTGTGTGTGCGTACAATTAAGTTTGTCCGATAAGAATAAAAATTAGTTAGAACGTTGTTTTGCATCATTGAAATATTTCAAAAATTGTGATGAATAATCAAATCGTAATTAGGTGTGGGGGGGGGGGGTGGAGGAGTCTGTCTGTTTTCGACATAGAACTTTGAACATATGTGCGGGTGTTCAAGTCGCCACACTCCCTCCTTGTAGCACACAAAGCAAGAGAAGAATGTAGGAGAAATGCATAATATGGACAGTAAACAGAGGTGTGAGACAAAGGTATAGTAATAACGAAGAACAAAACAGTTTCATTGGAAATCATAAGTCACAAGGAGTGGATGCATCTGCGTTAGCCATTGAGAACGATTTTGAGCCATGTCACCAATTGTTTCTAACCATTGGTTTTTGCTGTCCCGATGACCCCAACCAGGAAGTCTATACCTTCCTACGTGGCTTAGACTAACTGTTGTAGATTTCATTGACTGGTGGCGATTCTCCGTAACCTCTTGCATGGATGCGTCAGTTCGAATAGAGCGCCTACGATGTACTTTCTCGGTATTTCCTTCACAACCAAACACTGTCATGGTACTTTTCGGTCAGCAGAGTGGAATCCAGCCTTCAGATCAAGAAATATGATGATTATAGTAAGTCGGGGATGAGTATGCCTATGTTCCAGAATCTGTTGAAGGGTGAAGGTATGATCAATACACCCTCTCCATGGTCTAGAGCCTGTCTGGTTCTCTCGTGTTTGTTTCACACGAGCACTACTTAATCTATGCATAGTTATTGACCGTAGGAACTTTAGATAACATAGAAGTCAACCTAATCCTCGTATGATTATCACTGGAAGACATGTCTTCCTTCTTGTATGTTGGGATAAATAATGATTTAACATCACTCCGATGAGACTATCTCTGATTCCCAGACGTTTTGTCTAATACCTTAGTTAACACAGATAGCAACTGAGGTTGGTACTGGGGGAAGTAACTATATTCTAACAATGAGTAGTGTTGATGAGGGCCAATGAGTTTTGACTTTGAAAATATACCTAATATCCCCACCGTGATCCCAAGTGAAGTATGATTTATTTCATTATGTAGAGGCAAGTTATACTTACTCTTTTTTACAATACAGAATAGATTGGACGAAGATTTCTACATTCGTTTTCATTTAGTAGTTCCTCATCATCGGCTGGCTCTACACCGTACCACGTTGAAAGCACCGGTTCTTGTCCGATCACCGAAGTTAAGCAACGTTAGGCCCGGTTAGTACTTGTATGGTTGACCGGCTTTTTGTGTGTGCGTTCGTAGCACAGCAGTTAGGACTCTCGCCAACCATGCAAATGATCCGAGGTTCGATCCCCTACCGACGCACGCCACCTGATATCTATTGGTCGGCCTGCAAAATTTAGGCTACCAATATCACATGCTGAAAATTTCATTCTTGTATCAAAAATACAGTGTGGAATCAATCTATAAAAAATATATGGCTTTTTTACATCAAAATGTTTTACCAAACGAGTGGTTATTTGAGTTAATCAATTTTAGGTATAACGGGGTGGGATGCGGGTGAAATTAAGAGGTTAAAAGTCGTCAAAATTATTAACTAATAATAGATGTTACTAACAACACGTCTGAGTTTTGAAGGAAGGAGGAGGGAAAATTAATCATAGAATTCAAGATAAGTTAATTCTTAGGCGTTGGCAACAAGTTGTTACACAATCGAGAAATTTGTAAAGTAACAATGATGACTAGGAAAAATTACGTAAAATACAAACGAGTTAATAAAATCAGCTAGAATTGTGAAAATTAACAAAGTCAAGAGATAGTTACAAGGGGAGGGGGAAAATCACTTTCATAAACTTATTAACTGGCTCAAACAAGGTGTTATGGATTTCATTAACTGATGAAGCCATGTGTTGGTTTGACCACCACTAGCTGGCTCTTTTCCAACCTTATCCATTCTATGTCAGCTAACATTGCCCGTCGTCGAAGAAGGCGATGGATGGCTAGGCATGCGTAACAGATATCATAACAATCTCTCTCAATCAGTGTAACTTTGCAGCCTCATCGATTGATTTCCCCTCCTACCTACCTGCCTACCTAACACTCGACGCCTAACTGCAATATTACTCACCCTATTATCCTCTCACATAACAAGTTAGATAGAACACATTCGTATATGAGGTAATTAAGTAGTAGTGTGGTGTGTGCTACTAACAACAATCATCAGTAGTATATACAGAGGCAAATTGATAGGAAGAAGCCAAAATTGCAAACAATATTTCAAGTTAGTAGCAACAGTAAGAGAAGAAGCATTTATTTCTCAAATCTAGACCTAGCTTGCGTTGTGGTCAGGAATTAATTTCAAGGTTTAACCTTCAGAAGATTAGCAACCAATCAGAACAGTTTATTATCTTCTGACCTAGCCAACCATAAATGTGGCTAAAAATATATAAATATGGTGTGATTTTCCTCAATAAGAATGTCTGTTACCAAGTTTCTTGCCTTCTGCTGTTAAATTTAGTGTCGCTGCCTCCAGACAGTGAAGATCTCATGGCCTGTTGCTTTCGAAGAAGGAGACATCAGGAGCTTCTTCCAGGACTTCGATGCTGTCGCTGAGTCAAAGATCTGATGGCACCAGCTGAGCTAGTGTACGTGACAAGGCAGATATTGAGCACTACGGTACGCACAGTAGAGTCACCGAAATCGAATGTGAGTGGGAAGAGAAAATTCAAGATTTTCAGCGTGAAGTAGCGGCGCTATGAGAATGAGTGTCAGGAAAGACCAATGCTTTGAGTGTGGCAAGCCAGGGCACTAAAGGTTAAAACTGTCTAGATTGGTTACTGATTTTCTGAAGGTTAAGCCCTTGGATTATCTCCTGACCAAAATATAAGCTAGATCCAGATTTGGTTGGAGGATTTCATTATAAGCTGACATCAGTTAGAGAACCATTGAAAAACCTTCAAGTAGTACTTGACAGCCAACTGTTTCATCCTAGTTTGGGACTCTTCAGTGTTACGCACCCGCCACAGGGGGTCGAAGTCAGGACTTTCTGGTTACAAGGCGAGCTAGCTCGTAGACCATTCATCAGCCACTGCCGATTCATGACATAGCTCGACCACTTCACAATATCTTCTTCGATGAGTGGTCTACGAGTTCGCATTGTAACCAGAAGATCCTAGGTTCGAACCCTGGCGATGGGTGCGTACTGATGAAGAGTCCTAAAACTAGCACGAAACAGCTAGCTGTGTAGTACTCCCTGCAGGTTTTTCCAATGGTTGTCTAACTGATGTCAGCTCATTATGAAATCCTTCAACCAGTCAATCAAAGAAAATCCCTACAAAACCAACACTTGGAGATCCAGATTTGAGAAATAAACGTTTTATCTCCTTCTGCTGCCACTGTCTTAAATTATTGTTTTCAATTTTGACTAATTCCTATCAATTCACGCTTTTATATACTACTGGTGCCTGCTATCAGTAGCATGCACCACAGTAGTACTTAACGTTTCATTTATTGATTTACCGTAGTAGTCGTATTATTGATTTTCTTTTTATCTTGTTTTAGAATAAAGACATATCGTCTGTGATGATTAATCAGAGTCATAAAATTTCGGAATATGAGAATCAACAAAAGATGCTGAATCTGCATAAAACACACGAGACATTTTTCACTAAAGAAACCAAGTGTTTAGTATGGGGGTTACAAGTGAAAGCTGTTCAGTCAATGCTGGATTTTGATTATGCTTCAGAGCGTGATAGCCCGAGTGTTGCTGCTTTAATTTATCCTTTCAAGTAAGCGATTTGTTCTGTTCTGTTTGCCTATTTTTTGTTGTTGCCTTTTTTGAAAAAGAGAACTATTTGTTTATGTGTGTGTTTGTTTGTGTGCCATCTTTGATTGTGCGTCATTGGACTCCAGGTGAACATAGACAAGACGGAGGTTATGAAAATAACCAACCAACCAACAACAACAACAACAGCAGCAACATCCAGAGCCAATCACCATCAACGGGAGGGATTTGAAAGAGGATACTTCATTCACTTATCTAGGGAGCATTGTCTCAACTACAGGAGGAACGGACGGACGAGGATGTCAAATCGAGAATTGGGAAGGCGAGAAACACATCCATCAACCTGAAACCAATCTGGAAATCTTCGTCACTCAGCCTGAATCAACAACAAAATTCGGATTTTCAATACAAACGTCAAGTCAGTCAGTTCTTCTATACGTACGGATCAGAAACTTGGCCAGTGTGTCACAAAGAATATTTCCAACAGCCTGTTGCAGACCTTTATCAACAACTGTCTTCGCTGGCTCTATACTCAAGATCAGATGGCCGCCGGAAAGAATCACCAACAAGAAACTATGGGAACAAACAAAACAAGAACCAATCGCTCAACAAATATGAGGGAGAAAGTGGAGATGGATTGGACACTCGCTGAGGAGGCCTCTGGGTGACATCGTGCGTCAGGCCATTGCTCGAGTGGAACCCGAAAGGGAAACGGCGAGTGGGACGTCCAAGGGTGACACGGAGGAGATCGTGTGAAGAGGAGTTGAAACAGTATGGATTAACATGGATGCAGGTGAAAAGTACAGCAGAAGACAGAAGCAAGTGGAGACGTGCAGTTGAAGCCCCATGTTCCACTAGGAACCCAAAGGAACAATAATATAATAATACATTGGTTCAGCGGTAGGTAGCTCGTCAGCCAGGAATACCCCGTACTTATGAATTATAAAAGCACTTAGCTCTAATTCTATGCCCCATTAGAAATCGTTCAAACTCTAGACTAACTAACTAATTCATATGAGATGAAAAATAGACTAAGTGGCATTCAACTAGAGAATGAATGATGAAACAATGGTTAGTTTTGATATAACTAGTCTTTATACTAATATATACCAATCAATATGGCGGCCTTAGAAGCAGTTAAAAAAAAGAACTAACTGTAGATCCTGAACTCACTCATAGGACGAAGCGGCCCATTGAGGAAATTATTTTAGGAATTCAGTTATGCTGTCTCATATCTACTAGCTTTAAATTCCAAGGCAAAATATATAGAGAACAAACGGAAGGTGTAGCAATGGCATGGATCACCAATATCCCCTATCGTAGCAGATATATTTATGGACCGGCAGTAGGGAAAATACTGCTCTTGATACATTTAATCCTGCTCCAAAAATGTGGTGGAGATATGTGGGTGACACTTTCACTTGCAGTGTTAAAAACACAACGTATCTCTCTCTAGCTTCTTGACACATGCATAAACTCACTAGTAGTAAAGGGAATAAAATTCACATTTGAATCGCAAAAAGAACAAGGAGAATTAGCCGTGATGTCAGATTGTAAAATCATCAAACGAACAGAAGAAAGTAAACTGCATATTAGAGTTTATGAAATGCCAGCGCATTCTACTAATAGATATTTAGACTTTAATTCATCTCATCCTTTAACTGTTAAGGCAGGCTTAGTTAAGTGTCTAACAAACCGAACATTAGCACTAAGTAGTACAAGAAAAGACCTAAATGATGAAATAAAACAGATAGAAGAGGCGTTGGTGTTGAATAACTATCGTATAAAATTCATTAGGAGTATGAAAATAAGTGTAAAGTTATACCATATAAGGAGGGGACATCTGAGAGCGTGCGCGTAGGATTCTTAATAAAGCAGCAATTCCACTGGCATTTAAATCTACAAACTGATTCACTCAGGTAGGACAAGCTCTGTAGCTTAAAGGACGCAGTTGACCCAATTAGAAAAAATAGTATAATTTACGAAATACCTTGCATTGACTGCGACTGAGGTCAACTACATAGGTCAAACTAGTAGGTCACGGGTAGTCAGATTGTCGGAACTTAAGAATTTAGTTAAGGTGGGAATGATTAACCCCGTGATGATAAGTAATTTAGAAAAAAGCTCGGCAATTGCAATGCATGCATTAACACACAATAGGGTGGGAGAGGGTTAAAATTCTAAAAAGTAACCTAGGTAGGTGGAGAGCGAGAGAGGTTGATTACTGAATCTTTGTTCAACGAATCTACACCCAACACGTGAAATAGGAATGACTCATCACTCAAACCGGAAATATGGAAAATACCACTACCAATCAAATCAAGCGATGGAAAATAATGGAATTATATAAACGAATTTAGAAAGTTGTGTGAGTAGTGCCTTGATATGATGATGAGTGGCAATAAATTGTTCACAAAACTTCGTCATCAGTAAATATTGCTGTATAACACTGTGAGACTTTATCAAAATAAATTTCACCCATAATGGAAGCTCGTCAGCCACCTTGTCGTGTGGTCCGGGACTTGATCCCCCATTCGATGCGTTCTTTAACTTCGCTATTCTGGTAGCAAAGAAGGAAGGTTGTTTGACATGAGGCTAACAACCTCTTCGTGTTAAAATGAAACCATTGCTACAGAAACTTTAAATCTCTAGCCCCTGATTGACTTCCTGTAGGAGTGTGTTGCAGACTTTGGGCACTAGTCTATTCCTTTGTTCGTTCAAAACTGAATTCTGTCAGCAGTCAAGTTTGAAACATGGCCACAAACAGACTAGATGGCTCGCCATCACGGTGCGGTGTGTGACAGGTGTGCGACTCTCAGACACGGAACATGAGTTCTTTCGAGGCTGCAAATACGCCTTTCTGATTAGGCAATCCCAATAAGCACGAAGCATGTATCGTAGACTTCCATCCGATTATCTTCAACCGTATAGTAACAATGATTCACAGTGCACCGTGGCCACATGGCATGCAAGGTGCTGGGTTCGAACCCACGTGTGGTGACTGTTTACCTATGAAGAGTTTCAAACTAGGCTGATGAAACAGCTGTCCAGTACTCTCAGCTGGTTTCCCAATAGTTCTCTAATGGGTGTTAGCTCATGACGATGACTAGTGTTTGTATATCACGTGTAGTATGTAAGTTGGACGGTGACGCCTAGTCATAATAGATTCATACTATATGGGGAAGTTCGAAGGTGGCTATATATCTATTCCAGCCACTGGGTTGTGAGTTTGATATCTCTCTTTAGCTAATGAGATTTGGGCAACTAGGGTAGTATGACTAGCTCTCACACACACAGTAAATAGATTCAACTCATTGGCAACTGCTTTATAGGAACGCGAGTGGTTATTGATTGATATTACTCATGCAATAAGTGTGTTTGTGTGTATGATTCGTCGCTGTATAGCCAAAATCCCTGCCAGTAGCTACTGTCGTAACACAATCGTCGGACTTGTATATAGCAGTGATTGAATAGGCTATACTGTCAAGGAATAGTGTTCCTGCAGCTCCTACCATGCCAGAATGGTCACTCGGTCATCGGTTTGGCTAAAAGCGGTTACCGCTTTGGAATAGGGTTTGTAATAGCAGCAATGTGTTTCTCTGTGACGATAAACAAGCCGCCTATGCCACTCCTTCACTCTGGAGTTGGTGCTGGGGTGGGTTAGGACAATTCGATTCTGAAAATTTCACATCCTAACTTACATTTTGGCGGTCCCTAACCGGTAGTAATATCTTAATATGGAATACAACCGCACTGATGACCTTAAAACGTCCGTCGGATCTGATACAACTTTTCAAATAAGTGAAGTGGTCAACCCCTCTCCACCACTTCCTAGCCCCACCCCTCCATGTCTAAGCTAGAAGTTGATGCAGTCCAGTTCTATATTATCACCTTACATTTGACAGTCGGGAATCGCACTCCAGATATTCGAAGATTACTGTTTAAGGTATTCAAAGGTTTGGAATCAGGGTTGTAAGAAGCGCCAGACGTTCTCATTCATCCTTTGAATTTCGGTGGAAACACTCCAGCAGCTGTGTGAAGGAAGTGAGTAGAACTTACCTGGAACATAGGGCCTCAAGCTAGTGGCTTGAAGTTTCTGTAGCAGTGTTTAATTTTACACGATGGGTTTGCTAGCCTCATGCTCAACCTTTCCTCTTTACCAGCATTATTTCTGACTCGGTGAGGTAAAGGAGTGCGTCGGTGGCCGGGGATCGAACCCTGGACCATGTGCACGGTGGTTGGCGAACGTCCTAACCTCTGTGCGACCGACGCGTGACCCTACATGAGAGAGTATTTCGAAAAGACGACCAGGTCGTTTATAGGTTCATGTTGAGAATACACGAGGATTCAATGAAGTAATTATGAATAGGAAATCACTTAATGTAATTATAATGACAATAATAATAATTCTTAAATTTCTCCCCCACCTTCTTCACACTCTCAGCGATGATCATCAAATGAAATTCTACTGGGGTGCAAAAGAATTATTTCTACCCGTGTACAAGAATATGTTGAATGCAATGCACCGGCATCCAGAAGCACGTGTTCTAGTGAATTTCGCTTCACTACGTGTTGCCTATGATGTGTGCATGGAAGCAATGCAAGTGGATTGTATTCATCAGTCTTCTAATCTTCTAAGCAACAGTGGTGGTGGTGATACTGTCGAGAGTTTCTTGATGATGACTGGGAATCAACGTGAACCACAAATCAAGTGTATTGCTGTTATTGCTGAGGGGATACCAGAGAATTTTACTCGTCGGTTAATTCAACGATCAAAAGAAAGAAATGTACTATTGATTGGTCCAGCGACTGTAAGTTCTGTTTCTGTAATATTATTGTTATTATTATTATTACTTTGACATTTTGGAACATTTGTTTAAAACTCTCGGTTACCTCGAGGACAGATCTTTTATATTAACAGAGTATTGGTCACACTTATACTCGAATTCATGCAACCGTGTTGGCTGGCTGGATTCAACATAGAACTTGGCACCGAAGTGCAGCACCTCCAGTTGCCACGTTCCAAATAGCACACAAAGGTAGACAAGAAGATGGATGAGTGAAGAGAATCAATGGAGTTTTGACAAGTATAAGAGTGAAACAGAATGAGTAATGGTAGAAAGGAATATGAAAGATTACAGAGACTGAATACATCTGCGTAAGCCATTGACAACGATTTTGAGCCATGTCACCTATTGTCTCCAGCCATTGATTCTTAGAGTCCCGAGGGCTGGCCCCAACCTGGAAGTCTGCATCTTCCTCCCTACCTGACTCAGTTTGACTGTCAAGGATTTCATGGATTGATAGATACCATGTTTTTGTTTGGCCACCACTTACTCCTTTCCAACCTGCACCTATATCAGCTCGTAATTCCCGTCGGTAGGGGGAGGCGATGGTTAGGAATGCGCAGCACGTGACCTAGCCATCTCAATCTGTGTAACTTTATAGCCTCGTCGATTGATTTTCCCTCTTTGCCCAAGACTCTACGCCTAATGTCAACATTACTTACTTTATTATGCCACCTAACGTGAGAAAGAGATCGTAGACATCTATGATCAAAAACAGTCAACCTTTTCATGTATTCAATTCGTATTGGCCATGTTTCGGAGCCATAGAGAAGGATAAAGTGAACTGCTGAGCAGTACACACGTCCCTTGGTTGATAGCTGGATGTCACGACTACCCCAGAGATGGCGTAAGTTAGCGAAAGCAGCTTGAGCTTTTTGGATCCGTGCTGAGATTTCGTCACCAGTCAATCCGTTGGTGCTGATACAACCGTGTAGGAGCTTACTGTGGGAACTGTTGTTATCTGAAGTTATGATAACCAGTGGTGTCCGTCAATGGATGCCCACTGTCCAACCCGTCCCCTTCCTCCTGCATTTCTGTTTAATTTCATAATTGATGTACTAATGGAATTGACGGTAACTAACTTCAGCGATATAGGGATTGACTTGTTGACTTAGAATACGCGGATGATATGGTCCTGCTAGATGAAAATGGTGATAAAATGCAGTAGCGTGTTCTGAACACCTTGAGCAGCAATCTTCGAATGTCTGGAGTACGATTTGCTTCTGTGAAATGTAAGATGATGCTACAAGAATGGAAAACCCATTGACTCCTAGCTTAACGATAGACAGGAGTGAAGTGGTAGTGAGGCATGTTGACCACTTCAATTATTTGTGAAGTTGTATCATCCGCAGAGGGCTGATTTCTGACGAAATCTCAATAGGGATGCAGAAGGGTCGTTTGGCATTTGCCAATATGTGCTACCTCTGGCTTAGTTCGACATGATATCCGGACGGCTATCGATCGAGGGACGTGTGTACTGCTCAGCAACACTTCACTCTATCCTTCTTTATGGCTTTGAGTCAGACATGGTCATTGAAAGTGGAGGAAATGAAAAGCCTGGCTAGCGTTGTCTTTGATCATAGGTGTCTGCGTCCTATCTCTAATATTAGATGGTATAATTGGATGAGTAATATCGAAGTTAGGCGTCGAGTGCTAGGTAGGTGGAAGGGGAAATCAATCGATGAGGTTGCAAAGTTACACCAATTGATGTGGTTAGGACATGTGTTACGCACTCCTAACCATCGCCTTTCTCGATAAAGGGCAATGTTAGCTGACATAGAACGGATGAGGTTGGAAAAAAGAGTTAGTGATATTGGTGGTCATAGCAAAACATGGCTTCATCATTCAGTCAAATCCACAACAGTTAGTATAAGCCGCGAACACTAAATAATACTCATAGTACAGATATGGAATTTTCAGCATGTCGTACAATATTGCATCTAATTTTCTCATTACAGGGTACTTACATAGATAATATTATTAAAAATATGAATGTAAAATTAAAATTTTGAGTGAAAATATTCACAACAATATATTGATGAAAGAAAGGATAAAATTCGCCGTTTATTTCTCAGTAGATGAGTCATGCCATTCCTTGCACTTTTGCCATCACAAAAAATATGTGCCTGCCGAGTAACGTATCGTAGAGTTTTTAATACTTAGTCGTCTGAACATAAACTCTCTTATAGTTGCTCCTAGTTCGCCTACCTGATGAGATGCAAGGAGAGAAATGTGCACAGAGGGTCTGATAAGTAATTTAAGCTCATTTTTTCCATGAGTCCATTTGTTTATCTGCAACAGTATTAACGGGTTGATCTAGTGACATCCCAATCTCTCAACTGATAAGAAGACTCTAAAAGATCTAGATTTCGCGCGTGGATGTTTTATGTTTAATGTCACCTAAACTCGAAGACTTGCAGGCTGGCGAAAACCAGCAAACTGGCTGAAGAGGCGGGCAGCGAAGACAGGACTCTAGGTGATAAACATAGAGAAAACGAAGGTGATGAGGATAACCAACCAACCAGCCAACAACAACAACCAGTACCAATCACCATCAACGGGAGAGATTTGTCAGAGGTTACCTCCATCACTTATCTACGAAGGATCGTTTCAATCACAGGCAGTCAGAACGGATGACGATGTCAAAGCCAGCCAACCAGCCAGTCAGAGAGGATCGGAAAGACAAGATACGCCTTTATCAACCAGAAACCAGTTTTGAAATCTTCCGCTTCACTCATTCAGCTAAAAGAACAAGATTCGGATTCTGCTCAACACAAATGTGAAGTTAATCAGTCAGTCAGTTCTTCTCTACGGGTCAGAAACTTGCACCGCGTGCGAGTCACGAAAAGGATTTCCAACAGCCAGTCACAGACATATATCAACAGTTGGCGGCTTCACTGGTTCTATACTTAAGATCAAATTGCTGGCTGGCGAAAGAAAGAGAATTATTAACAAGAAACTGTGGGAGGTGACAAACCAACGAAGAGCCGATTGCTCAAGAAATATGCCGAAGGAAATGGAGATGGATTTGGAATCCACTGACGAGGCTGTCAGTCGAATGACATCGTGCTCATTGCAGACAATCGCTCGAGTGGAATGCCAATGTGAGGCGATGAGTTGGTCGTTAGTGCGAGGGTGACATTAATGAGATTGTAGGAGGAGGAGGAGATGAGAGATTATGGTCAATCATGGATCCAGATGAAGAGGACAGGAGAGAATAGAACCAACTAGAGATGTCGAAGCTGTTGAAGCCCTCTGTTCCACTCGGAATCCAAAGGAATAATAATAAAATAATCACACTCCTGATGTCTTTTAGTGCCCTTCACAGAGTGACAAGGTCTTTCTGAATTAGCCCAAGAGGAGCAATGAAGAAGAAAAGGTAGAATATTGCATTAATTAACAAACTGTGTAGCAGTAGAGACTTCATCATAGATATGCTAATGGAAGTATCCTTAACTGAACTTAACGACTTAGGAGTCGACCTGTTACCAGGGAATAGTTTTATGGACTTAGAATATGCAGATGACATAGTCCTCTTAGGGGAGGATGCTGACAAAATGCAGGGTCTTCTGAACACCTTGAGCAGCAATCTTCGTATGTCCGGCATGCGATTCGCCCCTGTAAAATGTAAGATGCTGCTACAGGACTGGACTACGTTAACTCCTAGCTTAGTGATAGCGAGTGAAGTAATAGAACATGTTGACCACTTCACCTATTTGGGAAGTTGTATCAGCACCAACGGATTGATTGATGACGAAATCTCAGCACGGATCCAAAAAGCTCGGACTGCTTTCGCTAATTTACACCATCTCTGGCGTAGGCGTGACATCCGGCTATCCACCAAGGGACGTGTGTACTGCTCATCAGTTCGCTCCGTCCTTCTCTATGGCTGGCTCTGAAAGATGGCCAATACGAGTTGAAGACATGAAAAGGTTGACTGTTTTTGATCATAGATGTCTACGATCTCTTTCTCGCGTTAGATGGTATAATAAGGTAAGTAATGTTGACGTCAAGCGTAGAGTGTTGGACAAAGAGGGAAAATCAATCGACGAGGCTATAAAGTTACATAGATTGAGATGGCTAGGTCACGTGCTGGACATGCCTAACCATCGCCTCCCCCGACGGACGGGCATTACTAGCTGATATAGGTACAGGTTGGAAAAGAGTAAGAGGTGGCCAAAGAAAAACATGGTATCTATCAATCCATGAAATCCTTGACAGTTAAACTGAGTCAGTTAGGGAGATGCAGACTTCCGGGTTGGGGCCCACCCTCGGGACTCTAAGAATCAATGGCTGGAGACAATAGGTGACATGGCTCAAAATCGTTGTCAATGGCTTATGCAGATGTATTCAGTCTCTGTAATCTTTATTGATATTCCTTTCTACCATTACTCATTCTGTTTCACTCTTATACTTGTCAAAACTCTATTATTGATTCTCTTCACTCATCTTCTTGTCTACCTTTGTGTGCTATTTGGCACGTGTCAACTCGAACTGCTGCACTTTGGTGCCAAGTTCTATGCTGAATCCAGTCAGATAGACAAAGACAGGCAGGGACTGACTGAGTGTTACCAGTTTATCTTAACTTCCTCAGTGAGAACGTGAATCAAAGTAACATTCTAGAAATCAACATAATGTAGTGGTAATAAATAAAATGCGCATATACACATCTACAGCGTCGTAGTGAGAGTGTTTCACGAATGTGTGTGTGTGTGTGTTTACCTTGACTAAAAATCTATATATTTAATCGTAGATTGTGATCATTGATCTGTCTGTCTATCTGTCTGTTTGTTTGTTGTTTTTTAACTGTTCAACTGTCTATTGAACACACCATTGGAGGACCAACTTCGTTAAGTATTGAGTACACTACATACACCGTTAACCTTGTACACAGTTCTTTATATTTTATATATTTCAAAATAAGTAAATGCCATAGAGAAGTTTGTGGCATTGACAAGGCTATGTATGTTTTTTTGTGTGTGTGTTGGTTTCTTAAGTAATTGTGGCTGATATTCTTGGTCATATTTACTAAATTACTGAGCTTAAAAACAGGCAGAGAGTACTGAAGAGCTGTTTTGTCCTACTTCGAGACCCTTTGGCAGAACCCATCCACCACAGGGGTCTGAACACAAGACCTTTTGGTTAAATGGTGAGTTCTCGTAGATCATTTAGCCACACTGGGGACCCAACTCAATGGCCAACTCATGAATTCTAACTTCTGCCAGTTGGTGATTGTTTAACCCGACTGGTACACTAGCCACCAATGTCATCCGTGGAGAGTATTTGTCCTGAATCCTGACGTAGTAGACTCTCCCCCCCCCACTGGTTGGTTATGACTTCTCACTAGAACTCCCGGCAACTAACTTCGTCCTGCAGCCAATCAGATTAATTCTCAACAAGAGTTAGTTTGTAGGCATTCTATTTGATGACAACCAGTGGTATCCACCAATAGATGCCCACTGTCCCCCTCCTCGCATTTCTGTTTAATTTCATCATTGATGTATTAATGGAATTGACCGTAACTAACTTCAGTGACTTAGGGATTGACTTGTTGACTTCTGAATATGTGGATGAAATAGTCCTCCTGAGGGAAGATGCTGATAAAATCCAGTAGAGTGTTCTGAACACCTTGAGCAGCAATCTTCGAATGTCTGGAATACTATTTGCTCCTGTGAAATGCAAGATGATGCTACTAGAATGGACAACCCATCGACTCCTAGCTCAACGATAGGCAGGAGTGAAGTGGTAGTGGGGTGTGTTGGCCACTCCACTTATTTGGGAAGTTGTATCAGCCCCAGTGGGCTGATTTCTGGCGAAATCTTAACACGGATGCAGAAGGATCGATTGGCATTTGCCAACATATGCTATCTCTGGCTTAGGTAGACATGATATCCGGTCGGCTATCGATCGAAGGAGGTGTGTACTGCTCAGCAGCACTCCACTCTATCCTTCTTTATGGCTTTGATTCAGACATGGCCATTGCAAGTGGGAGATATGAAAAGCCTGGCTGGCGCTGTCTTTGATCATAGATGTCTGCGTCCTATCTCTAATATTTGATGGTATAATTGGATGAGTAATATTGAACTAGACCTCCCGGCAACTAACTTCGTCCTGTAGCCAATGAGATTATTTCTCAACAAGAGTTAGTTTGTAGGCATTAGATTTGTTTCAAGTGTGACCACTCACGAATCGATATCAGTTAGAGAACCATTAAAAACGGGCATGGAGTACTGCACTTCCTAATTCGTCCAAATGTGCGGCTCATATCCAGTACGCATCCGCCATATGGGGTTCGAACCCAAGACCTTCCAGTTACAAGTCAAACGCGTAGACTGCTCATCCACTATGACCCTATTCAATGGCCAATCCATGAATTCTACTTTCTACCATTCTTTGGTTTGTTCAATGCTTCTCTAACTGATATCAGCCTGCCGCGGCAAACTTGAAACAAACCAACGTTTTCTCCAACGTTTCCATAACCTGGCTCCACGTCTGCTCATATACTTTCATCTCCTTTTCGCCTGACCTCCTCCTCCATTTCACCCTCGCAGTGACGACCAACTCGCCGCTTCCTATTCGGTGCCAAATCTCTGATCCGAATAGCAAGTAACACTGACTTCACATTGCAGTTGAAAATCCGGATCTTAGTTTTCATGCTGAGTGGTAAGCACTGTTGATCTTCACACAGACTCTGCGAGTAGTGGAAGCTTGTCTTGCTTTCCCCGATCCTCGTTACAGAAACTACAGTACGAAGAATTTTTGTTATTTGTATAAATTATGCAGATATATGTTCAAATCTATGTAATTGTTTCTGTCGAGTGCCTATTTATTTTCACACTTCTCTGTTTATGTATATATTACAGGTGGGCGGTTTAAAGGCTGGTTGCTTTAAAATTGGGAATACAGGCGGAATGACGGACAATATACTTGCTTCAAGACTTTATCGTCCAGGAAGGTTAGTTCATCGCATTTTTTTCTCTGGTTTTTCTTCCTTATTTGATAACACAATGAATTTTATTATTATTATTATTCCATAAAGATGCTTAAAACTGGAAAAGCAGCAGGACCAGATGAAAATCTCTGCAGAAGCATTGAAAATGGACTCAGAGACATCAGCGGACCTGACGACACCATTAATGAAGAAGGTGTGGAAAGAGTGCAAGGATTGGAAGACTACCTATTCTAACTGCTAAAGTAAGGCACGGCATTATGCTCCTGTCTATCCCAAGCAAAATACTTAGCCGTATCATCCTGGAGAGAATCAAACACGTCTAGGATGGAAAAGTTTCGACCAGAACAGGCTGGATTCAGGAGGCACAAGTCATGCATCGATCAAATCGCCACATTACGGATCATCATTGAACAGAGCTTGGAATGGCAGTCACCTCTCTATCTTAACTTCGTCGACTTTGAAAAGGCCTTCAACAGACAGTGTCGATCGAGAGGTGATTTGGAAATTACTTCGCGACTATGGGGGTGCCGCCAACAATTATACATCTCATCCAACAGTTGTACGACAATGCTGCATGCCAAGTAATGCACAATGGGAAACGTAAGGAATCCTTTGAAGTGAAGACGGGAGTAAGACAAAGCTGGCTGGCTGCCTACTATCTCCAACGATTTTCTTGATTAGGGTAGACTGGATAATGCAACAGACACAGGGTAATGAAGAGGCAGGCATAAAATGGATCCAAACAAAACACCTGGGGGATCTGGACTTCGGCGATGATATATGTCTGGTTTCCTACAAACACTGGAAGATATGCAAGTGAAAAGCAACAATTTGCCAGAAGAAGCATCAAAGATAGGACTTCTGGTGAACATAGAGAAAACAGAGGTGATGAAGATTTCTGGCCAACACCGACACAACAACAACAGACAACAGTCAGCATAAATGGGAGAAATCTGGAGGAAGCGACCTTTACCTACCTACCTGGGAAGCATCGTTTCATCTACAAGGGGACGGAACTGATGAGGATATGAAAGCGAGTATCGGGAAAGCAAGTCAAGCTTTCATTACTCTCAGGTAAGTGAGTGTAGAGATCAACAGCACTACTCGGTATGAAAAATAAGATCCTGATTTCCAACTGCAATGTGAAATCTATGCTACTTACTATACGGATCAGGGACTTGGCATCACGCCGCGTCACGAAGGGCACTTCGAACAAACTACAGACCTTCATCAACAGCTGTCCTCCCTCACTACTACTCGAAATCAGATGGACAGCCCGAAGAGATCAGCAACAGGGATCTCTGGCAATGATAGAACCAACCCAGGAGGAACCAACTGTGCAACAAATATGCAGGAAGAAATTGTTGGGGATTGGCCATACTCTGAGAAAACAAAGCATCAAGTGAGTGATATCACACGCCAGGCCAACGCTCGAGTAGAACCCGAATGGGAAGCGGCGAGTTGGTCGTCAGTGCGAGGGTGACATTGAGGAGGAGGTGATGCGAAGAGGAGATGAAAGCATGTGGGCAGGCGTGGGGCCAGATGAAAACGTTGGCGGAGAACTGAACGCAATGGGGCCGTGTGACTGAAGCCATATGTTCCTCTAGGAATTAAAGCAAACAATAATAATAGTAATTCCTTTGCGTTCCAAGTGGAATGTCGAGCTTCGTGCTTGAGGTTTGAAGTTTTGCTAACACAGATTTCCTTTTAGACAGGGTAAGGTTCCTCGTCTATCATCCTACGTCCCATCTTCACCTGGTTTATTAGTGGTTAAGCGAGGTTTAGGAGTCTGTTCGTTACCGGGGATAGAACCTCGCATCTCATATGATGTCATGGTAGGTGAGTTTGTTCTACCACTGAATCATCGACACAGAATGAATTTTATTGTCTACTTTGTTTCTGTTGTTGTCGTTTTCAGTATGCTTTGTGTAATCTTATCTGTGGGAGTCTTTAGATAGTCAAGAGTAGTCATTGCTGCTATTGCTTGATCTAACAAGTTTCTGTGGACTGACTAACTTACTGTTTTCAGCAGTGCACCAGTTCGAGTTAGCACACTCCATGTAGCTCAGAAAAGAAGAAGAAACAAGGTGATCCGAAAGAACGATAATTTACGCAGAAATGTGGGGTATGAAGAATAGCAACATGGAAAAACCATACGGTTTAATGGATATGAGAGACCTCAAAGAGTGACTACCTCTGTGCCAGCCATTGAGAACGAGGATTTTGGACCATATCATCACCAGTTGTCTCCAGCCTTCATTGATTCTTATAATCCTGTTGACCCCCTACGTCGACAGGAAGTGTACAGCTCCCTACGTGATTGTATCCCTCCTGAGATTTAGTCAGCAATCAGCCTGTCGGGGCTAATGGAATTTCCAAATAAGTGATGTGATGTTCTAATGTAATGTTGTCTGCACCTTACATTTGACAGGTGCAAATCGGATCCCACATATTCAAAGATCTCTGCTCAAACTGTTCGGAAGACTCTGCATTTTATCAACCACACTTCACCTAGTAGGATTGCTATATCATCCGCATATTCCTTAGTGGTAAAACAATGCAATCCCTAGTTCTCTGAAGTCAGTTCCCACACTCCCTAGACAATGCTTGTGGAGATTATAAGTAGTATAAGAATTGATTGTTTATACACAAATTTTATCAAAATGTTATCATTACTAGTACTGTGGCGTGTGTTACTGATAAAACTTATGAGTAGTATATGAAGAGACAATCATCGGCGAAGCCTGTTTTGCTGGGAATGCTGCTGAAAAGTTGGGCAAAGGCCACATACAACAGTGTGGGGCGGTCAGGTGATAAAGAGACCTGGAAGATATTGATTGAACGATTGGTGGTGGATTTCGACGGCTCGATGGACAACCAGCAGGCGATGCAGCAGTTCCGTGTCGCGAAGCTGGGACCTGATGGAGAAGCGTTAGTGTTGGCGGTAAAGCTGACAAATCTACTAAGTCACTCATAAATCTTATCAGTAATACATGCCACGTGCGTCGGTGGCATAGTGGTTAGAACGCTCGCCGACCATGCACATGGTCCAGGGTTCGATCTCCGGCCGACGCACTCCTTTACCTCGCTAAGCCAGAAATAATGCTGGTGAAGAGGAAAGGTTGGGTATGAGGCCTAAACCCCATCCTGTAAAATAAACACTACTACAGAAACTTCAGACCACTAGCTCGAGGCCCTATGTTCCACTGGGGAACGTGAAGAAAATAAAAAAAAATAAAATTAAAAAAATAATACATGCCACACTACTCCCTCTCCTAATACTAATACATATTTAATCTCTTCTTCAGTGTCGCTTATGTCTCCCGATCTGGTGGAATGTCCAACGAACTCAATAATATCATCTCGATCAATTCAGATGGTGTCTACGAAGGTGTAGCTATCGGTGGTGATCGTTTCCCTGGTTCAACATTTCTTGATCATATTCTACGTTATGAAAGGAATCCTGAAGTTGGTATGATTGTTGTATTGGGTGAAGTAAGTAGTGTACAAGGGAGGAGAAATTGATTGAATTATTATTGATCTCTTTGCCTATTTTTCTCAACAGGAAGTAAGAATACTTTTTTTTAATTTGTCTAACAGAACTGATTAGCGAGGCATCATGCTCCTGTCGACGCCAAGTAAAATCCTGAGTCGCATCATCCTGGAGAGAATCAAGGACGCACTGGATACAGAACTCCGACCAGAACAAACTGGAATCAGGAAAGGCAAATCATGTGCTGACCAAATTGCAACTCTACGCATCATCATCGAACAAAGCATGGAATGGCAATCAAACCTCTACCTCAACTTGATAGACTTTGAGAAAGCCTTCGACAGCGTTCACCGCGAAGTAATTTGGAAACTACTCGAGTACTACGGCGTACCCCAAATATTCATCAACCTTATTCAACAACTGTACGACAACGGCACATGTCAAGTGATCCACAACGGAAAACTCAGCGAAGCGTTTGGAGTAAACACAGGAGTCAGACAAGGGTGTTTATTATCACCAATGATATTCCTAATTGTGGTGGACTGGATTATGCGTCAGACAGTGGGAAACGAGAAGACAGGGATATCCTGGACCGACGTGAAGAACCTAGAAGACCTAGACCTGGATTTCGCGCGTGGATGATTTATGTTTGATGTCACACAAAATCGAAGACTTACAAGCGAAGACCGACAAACTGGTCGAAGAGACTGGCAGCAAAGACAGGACTCCAGGTGAACATAGACAAGACGGAGGTTATGAAAATAACCAACCAACCAACAACAACAACAACAGCAGCAACATCCAGCGCCAATCACCATTAACGGGAGGGATTTGAAAGAGGTTACTTCATTCACTTATCTAGGGAGCATTGTCTCAACTACAGAAGGAACGGATGAGGATGTCAAATCGAGAATCGGGAAGGCGAGAAACACATTGATCAACCTGAAACCAATCTGGAAATCTTCGTCACTCCTCAACACTCAACAACAAAATTCGGATTTTCAATACAAACGTCAAGTCAGTCAGTTCTTCTATACGGATGGATCAGAAAGAATATTTTCAATAGCCTGTTGCAAACCCTTCCCCATTTTCCTCGCTAAGCCAGTAATACGACGACTGGTAAAGAGGGAAGGTTGGGCATGAGGCAGGCAACTCCATCCCGTAAAAATAAACACCACTGCTACTGAAACTTCAAGCCTCTAGCCTGAAGCCCTATGTTACACTGGGCACGTGAAGGAATAAAAAAAATTGCCAGGTTTTGATTTGACCAAGTCTACTCTAACACTTTTTCCGACGTATAATCCCTGTGTCACCTAAGATTTCTCGTTGAGGAAGGCAGGCTATGACTCTTAGCATGCACTACAATACGTGTCACATCTCCATTTTAAAGCTACAATTATAGAATTTTTGCAACCACACATCCACTGCTCATCCATCTAATATTTGCTTAACTCCATAGTTCTCATGCTTATGATATCCTTTTAATAAATGGTCTCCAAAAGTCATACGAATGCAAGAAAGTTGTTTTTTAGTTCATTTTGAGGCAATCTCACAGAGATTTAGTTTATCAAATCACTATTCATATAATGAGTAAAGGTCGAAGGTGAAACGAGAACTTTTGCTCATGACAGGATTCGAACTAGCGATGTCCGAATAAAAGTAGTCCGGCATCCTATTAGATACGCTACGCGCCCTCACGTACACAGTTAAATTATCAAAGCTCGTGATTGAAGTTCTATGTTCCACTGGGAAAGTGAAGGAATATATGTATATATGATTTGAAGTCTGATCAGGGATCGATATCGGTTAGAGAACCACTGAAAACCAGCTGGCATTGGAGGGGGATAACTGTTTCGTCCTACTTTTGGATCTATTCAGCAGTATTCATCCATTTTCCCCTATCTAGAATGGAATTCAGGACCTTCGGATTCACAAGATAATGTGTGTATACACATACTTTATCAGTGTGATATAGTAATTAAAGTCAGTCTGAAAATGAACCAATCAGAATATGGCCCACGTAAAATAACGCCCACTGTTTTTTTATTGATTGATCATGATTATTGACTAATTGATATATATATATTCTTCCTTGGTGATATTTTAAATCATACATTATTACTGTTTGAAATATACTACTGTGGGTGATACTGAAAAAATAGACTTAGCAGTTCGCCATATCCTCCTTTATGGCTGTGAGACGTTGTCATTGAAAGTGTGGAAGACATAAGAAGGCTGGCTAGCTGTCTTTGATCATAGGTGTCTTTGTTCTATCTTTGTTCCAATGTTTGGCGGTATAATAGGTTGAGGAATATTGAGGTTAGGCGTCGAATGTTAAACAAGGAGGGAAAATCTATCATTGTTTGTAAAGTTACATCGACGGTGAGATGGTTAGTACATCCGTTACACATGCTTAGCCATCGCCTTCCTTGACGATGAGCAATGTTAGCTGAAGTAGGATCGATCAGGTTGGAAAAGAGCTAGTAATGGTAGTCAAACCAAAACATGGCTTTATCAGTCAGTGAAATCCATAACAGTTGGTTTAAGTCAGCCACGTAGGGAGGTGTAGACTTCCTGGTTGGGATTGTTGGGTAGGTGATTTGGCTCAATATCGTTCTCAGTGGCTGGGGTACATGCATTCACTCTTCGTGATTTGCCAGTCATAACCAATGAAACTATTGTTCTTGCCTCACACTTCTGTTTATTATCTCTATTTACTCCCTTCTCTTGCTTTTTGTGCCTGATGGAGGGAGATCGGTAAATGACACTGCTGAACATCTTTGCGAAATCTCAGCACGAATACATAGGGTTAGTTTCGCATATGCCACTTTACGCCGTCTCTGGCGTAGACGTGATATCTGATTGGCCGTCATCCAAAAGGCGTGTGTACTGCTCAACAATTTGCTCTGTCCTCCTTTATGGCTGTGAGACCTGGCCATTGAGAGTGAAAGACATGAAAAGATTAGCTGTCTTCGATCATAGGTGTCTGCGTTCTATCTCCCGTGTGAAGTGGTATAATAAGGTGAGCAATATTGAGGTTAGGTTTCGAGTGCTAGGTAAGGAGGGGAAATCAATCGACGAGACTGTGAAATTACATCGACTGAGATGGTTAGGACATGTGTTACGTATGTCTAGTCATCGCCTTGCTCGATGACGGGCAATGTTAGCTGATATAGGGTCAGGCTGGAAAAGAGCTAGCGGTGGTCAAACCGAAACATGTCACCAGTCAATGAAATCTACAACAGTTAGTCTAAGCCACGTAGGAAGGTGTAGACTGGCTTCCTGGTTGGGGTCCTCGGGACGGTAGAAACCAATGGTTGGAAACAATTGGTGACATGGCTCAAAATCGTTCTCAATGGCTGGCTGGCGCAGATGCATCCACTCCTTGTGACTCATGATTTCCAATGAAACTATATTGTTCTTCGTTACTACTATTCCTTTGTCTCTCACCTCTTTCTACTGTCTATATTATGAATTTCTCCTACTTTCTTTTCTTCTTTTGTGTGCTACATGGGAGGGATGTGGTGACTTGAACTGCCGCATATCGGTGCAAAGTTCTATTTCGGAAACAGACAGACAGACATCTTTGCGAAGTTCTATGTTGAAACCAGTTAATGAGTGAAAATGAACTTTTGCGCTCATTTCGTTTTGTGTTGGCGCTTAAGTAAAGCAGGCTGGTTGGCGGAGATGGGGAATAGACAGCTGTTATATAGCCTTGTTGGCGTAGTCGGACGGTATTCGTGATCAGCGCGTTTGTATTCAATAGTTTAGATTCTCTTCTTCGGCACCATGACAATTTTTATTGACGTATTTATTAATGAATGTTGTGTAATACGTCCCTAAAAACCCATCATCATAAAGCCATCATCTCTTTCTTCCTTTGGTTTTACTTTTATTTTTTAAAATTTCCCACATATCTCTGACCTCTTAGGTTGGTGGTGTTGAAGAATACGCTTTAATCGATGCTGTGAAATCGGGTAAAGTGAAAAAGCCAATTGTAGCCTGGTGTATTGGTTCGTGTGGAGAATTATTAGCCGCTGTAGATGATACAGGCAGTGGATCAATTCAATTTGGTCATGCTGGTGCATGTGCTAATTCCCTGAAAGAAACAGCTACAGCTAAAAATCAGGCGTTGGCTGACGTTGGCATACATGTACCCTCATCATTTGATGAATTGGACCTGTTGATTAGGTAAGTGAGTTTTAAAATGGATATTTTTGTTCATTTTGTTGCATGGCTGGCTGGTCGTTTCTCCCTCTGGTCTCTCCACTCTTATTCTTTGTGTGTGTATGTGTGTGGTGTTTTAGCTACTGAGCTGGCTGGTTGATTTAAACTGCGAAGCTTTCATTATCCTTCCAGACGAAATCCTCTTTCAGCGCAGGGTTTTAGTATAAAATGAACTCATTTGATGAATTCTCCATGAATGCTGATATAATTGTGTCTCCTGGCAGCAACCATCTTTGTGACTGGTAGTTAATAGACGTCTCTATTGATCGTATTTTTATTGACTTGGAGTTCAAACTTTCTTGTTATGTGATGTACTTGTTATTAGCTGGTAGATTTTTGGTTTATATTCACATGTTTGTTAATCGCTGACTGATTCACCTGAGTACCAGGCTTCTAGAAATTCCCTGGCAGTATTTTTGGTGTTTCCTCTGTGTTTAAAATTTCTACATTATCCCGATCACCTAATTGGTGTCCATAAGTACCCACATGTATTGATATGAAAGAATATATACCATGTCTGTTTACAGCCAATTGTGTGTTCCTGGTTTATATAAAAGAAAAGAAGGAGTTCAGCGAAGAGACTCTTTTCGGCGAATTTATTCACTGAGCTGTACAATCGCATTTATATACAATTTTGTTTGTGTGTGTGTACGTTAGATTTATAAAGTTTAGATAATTACGTAATATAAGTATTATTTGGCTTGGAAACAAACGTTAATTAGATAGAAAATAAAATAAAATTGATTAAGTGAATCGGATGACGTAATACAATTGAGTAGAATTCAGAGTAGGTCAGGTTGACAACAGTGTTAATGAGTGGTGGTTAAAATTAAATAAGGGTCGGGGTAGGGAATAATACAGTTGGAAGTTAAGTAAGTTATTCGGATGAGGTAATATAGTTGACTAGAAATTGGACGTGGGTCGAGTTACCAACATTATCAATGAGGGTAGAGATTACAAAAGGGTGAGGTAGAGAATAATACAAATGAAGATTTGAAATAATAAAATGCAAAAGACAAAATAATACAATCAGTAAGACTGAAATTAAGAAAGATCACGTCCATTGTTGATTTAATGAATGAACGAATTTCTTTTGTATGCAGAGTTCAGGATTTAGCAGATGAATTGCCATTGCTTCTGAGATGTGAAGAAGTTTGATTCGTACACTTTTGGCAAGATTGCCTTGTATTGTTGGGATAACTTTGAAGTTTATATGTGGTTTGACTTGGTGTCCTGAATCGATCAAATGTTCAAGGTTCGAGCTACGGGGGCATCGGTTTTCTCCTTTATAAAATCATGAAAGTAAAAAAAATTGTAAAAAAATTTGTAAAGAAAATTATATTTGTAATATCTCAGCGATATCGAAATGAGTAATTCCAACGTTTCGTTCGGCAATCTGGTCCGAACTTCTTCAGGGAAATTAATCGAAATTAACATAACAGAGGTTTTACATATAAAAGGCACATCTTTTTAAAAACTTTGTCCAATCATGATTCATAAACACAAGTGTTAACAAGTATGATAAACAAAATTGTATGAGCTGTGATCAAAATTTGACCTCGGACTTACAAATATTGGTCTACCTTTGTCAAATTTTGATCACAGCTCATACAATTTTGTTTATTATACTTGTTAATACTTGTGTTTATGAATCATGATTGAACAAAGTTTTTAAAAACAAAAGATGTGCCTTTTATATATAAAACCTCTGTTATGTTAATTTTGATTAATTTCCTTGAAGAAGTTCGGACCAGATTGCCGAACGAAACGTTGGAATTACTCATTTCGATATCGCTGAGATTTTACAAATGTCTACTTCTCACTCGGCGCCCAAATATTTTAGAACTATTCGGTCAAATCTTGACGACAGTTCATTTGGACATGAAAGTTAATGTTCGTTGACGCGTTTGGATAGTGAACGCTGAGTACGGCCGATATACCTGGCTCCACACGAGCAGGTGAATTGGTAGATGTTCCTGGTTTCTCATTTGAAGGGGACGCCCACTTTGTCCGATGTGATGTCTCTTACACTTCACACATGCAATTTGTATTCTGTAAATGTTATTAATTTCATCTTCTTGTTCTGTTGGATCTTTTGGTTCGCACAATATCGAATGAAGAGATTGTTCTGGTTGGCTGGCTTACTGCCTTGTGTGCTATATCTGTTTCAAACTGTTTTAATATTCTAGCTGTTATTTCAGAGAAATTTTTTTATATTTGACAGGATGAATTTTCCTGTGATCTTTGATGTTGGCTTGTTGTTGTTGGTGTTATGACTCGAGTTTAGCCACTTTTGATAAAATTGTGTGAGGATACACATTCTTTTTGAAGACGGTTAGTTGGTATTTCTCCTTCATTCTCTTCAACACCGGAGTATTGCTACACTGTGTTTGAATTCTGTCGGACAGTCTCTTGATTAAGTGAGACATCTAAGAATGGAATTTTGTTGTCTAATTCCACTTCTCCTCTTGTGGTGAGTATATTCAAAATCGTATAATCAACATAAAGTACCCATAGATTTTTGGTTTAATTATGGGCAAGGTGGGCTATTAATTCAAATCTTTGCATAATGGTATCAGCTTTTAATCCAGATTATGGGTGATCCCATTGTTGTCCCCTCTAATCTGTTCGTATTTTTGATTATTGAATTGGAAGTATGTTGTAAGACAGAATTCTATGAGTTCAAATCAACCAGCTCAGAGAACATAACTAATTCACAATAGCATCCATCTGAGCTACAGACAGACCTTCTCCATTACTAACAAGATTTTCTGAGTAGTGGTAGTCTATTGTGTGAGTGTGTGGTGTCTTCTACCAGGGGTATTGAATTGAAAGGCGACAGATTAAGTTATACAGAGAGAACCATAATACAACGGACATGTGTAGCTAGATGGACGGTACTTTTGTAACAACAGAAGACAAGGGCCAGGCAACAGATTTAAGTTGGTTCGGTCTTATTGGTTCTAGGGGTTTTGTTCGTTTGTTTTGCTGTCTGGAATATCGGCGCTTGCGGATGTTCACCTGTTTCTCTTTGTTTGCCATTTCGATTGTGTCTGCGTAACCCCATCTCAAAGTGACCATATGTGGTCCTTCCTACTTTGGAAACTGTTTGGCTGACCCTGTCGCACATTCGTCAGTATTTCGCCCCATACTTTCACGTGTTGCTTTCTCCCGACCTCCCAGCAGCGTCCCAAGTAACAGCCTCATCACTGACAGATCTTTGAACGCCACTCAACTGTGCAGAATCCTCGAAGTCCTGCCTGAAGTTCTATATGTCTCCATCGAAAACTGCAGAGCATAGGCTTTCCATTTGTCGGTAGGCAGCGACACCAAATGTTATAGTAGAAGACAAGGGCCAGGCAACAGATCGTTTATTGAAGAAAATCAACACATATTTATAAATTTTAATGTACATTACTGTAGATTATTGTTAGTAGAAAATACAGTCTTTTGATTGGTTGTTTCTGACAGAAAGTTAACCTTGCATCTCTTTGTGGCTGTGTCAAATCATCCGTATGCTAACTGTGTCCGCCTACGCAAAGCCTTTGTTCTCATTTTCTCACTACCACCAATATTGGGGACATAAACATTGACGTCAATTACTCTCTGCTAACTTTGGCTAGCAGCCAGCTCTCATCCCACACTTTTATCTTGTATCTTGCATATAAGAATAATAAAATCAATTCTGAGGTCCTTCTCAAAACCGTTTAATATTACTAAACCAAAAAATTTAGTTCTTATATGAGCACAGAAAATGACAATACCTTGTAATTTGTTAATGTCGTGACTTGATCAAGAAGGGAAGATGGCGGTATTAAGCGGCGTGGGCGGGTGTGCGGTTCTGGAAAAATCATCACTTGGTCAATACACGCATTTCGAGTTGTTTTTCTGCCATTTAGCATACTAATGAAATATTATCAGTACTGCACAACCGATGACAATCCATAAATAGAAATGCCTGCAAACGGTGCGGAGAGAAAACGAATGTATGTATGTATGTGCGTGTATGTGACTTTATCGTTCAAAGGAGACACAGCCACTGAATTACTGACTGGCATTGAAACTCCTTGGGGTGCCACCGACAATTATGCATCTCATCCAACAGCTGTACGACAATACTGCATGCCAAATAATCCACAACGGGAAACTTACGAAACTCTTCGTAGTGAGGACAGGAGTAAGACAAGCTGGCTGCCTACTATCTCCAATGATTTTCCTGATTGCGTTGGCCTGTATAATGCGACAGACAGAGCGGGTGATGAGGAGACAGGGATAAAATAGACGTACACAAAAAACTTTTAGGATCTGGATTTCGACGATGTGATATATATCTGATTTCCCACAAACTGGAACATATGCAAGTGAAAAGCAACAAGTTGGTAGAAGAAGCATCAAAGATAGGACTCCAGGTGGACATAGAGAAAACAGAGGTGATGAAGATTCCTGGCCAACACCACCACCAGCAACAACAACAACAGACAACAATCAGCACAAATGGGAGGAACCTGAAAGAAACAACCTCTTTTACCTACCTATCTGGGAAGCATCGTTTCAACTACAGGCGGAATTGACGAGGATATCAAAGCAAGACAAGCTTTCACTACTCTCAAGTCAGTGTGGAAGTCAACCGCACTCAGCATCAAAAATAAGATCCGGATTTTCAACTCCAATGTGAAGTCAGTGCTACTCATTATACGGATCAGAGACTTGGCGCGTCATAAAGAGCATCTCAAACAAACTACAGACCTTCATTAACAGTTGTCTTCGCTCAATACCCAAGATCAGATGGCCGGTCAGAAAAGATCAGCAACAGGGATCTCTTGCAATGAGTGAACCAACCTAGCAGGAACCGATTGTGCAACAAATAGGCGGGAAGAAATGGAGATGGATTGGCCATACTATGAGGAAACCACCAAGTGACATCACTAGACAAGCCCTTGAGTGGAACCCGAAAGGTAAGCGGC